GGAACCGACTTTGGCCCCTCCGGTTTCTTTTCAAGGATGTACTCGTTGGTACCTGTTCTGAAACGATGGTGGAGCTGCTGCACTGCTTTGATCACATTAGTGAAATTGTCCGTTACGCGACTCAAGATAACTTCGTGCGGCACAGCGATGCGCACAGCTTCAGTCACTATGTCAACCATCTTCTCGTCAATAACACTTCCTGTAGGTGTCTTTCGGCGAGATTCTCTGAAATCAAGACGCCCTGCCTTGATGCTGAGCAAACGAGCCCAGACATTGCGCATGCGTGGTGGCTCTGTGTACAGCCGCACAAGTTTGGCAGAAACGTATGGAGTAGACCATCGTTGCCGGCCGAGCTCCAGGCCATACATATGCAGCATCATGGCTGGATCATGAGGCATATCGGCTTTGAGTTGTACAAGGGCTGCTTTGAAGTCAAGAGTGACTAATTCAGGAGTAATAGTCGTCAGTCCAGGATCTAGATCTGGAGTTCCAGGAGGAGCCAGTCGGTTGGCATCAGGGACCAGATCGACATAACTTCCCTGCTGCTTTGGCCGTGGAGCATCGCGACCAGTTCGCATGAATGCTTTTCGTAGTGTCATGACAGCAACACCAACAGCGTAGTGTCGGTAGAGCGAATACTTGGCGCGAATGGTACGAACACCCACTTGGATATTAAACGTTGGGCCATTTGCATCGCTTGACGCGCCGAGCGAAAGCTCAAGCCTCGGTACGCTAAGAAAGGCCTCGGGCTCAAGTGTATCAACAGCGTCCATGATCTGTGCTTCAATGCCGCTAGCAAAGAGGGTGAGCTTCCTCCCGTCACCAGTATTTTGTGACTTCTTCTTGATTCTAGGAGAATTCGGAGGAGGAGTCCAATCCGAGTCGGATTGGTTGACGGAACGACTGTTGGCCCGTCTTCTAGAAGTCCGTCGTTGAAGTCCATCAAGGCGATGAGCTCGATATTCGGTTGAAACTGTGTCCCAGTGTAAAAAGACTCCACGGGTATCGTCAGATATCTCCTCATCGATTCCTGCGATTTCCACGTTGAAATCGGCTGCATTGAACTGAGCCCTCAATAGCCAGTTGGGCATAGACCGCAGGAAGTTTTGACCGCCCTTGGATCGAGAAACGGTGCCCTTTTCTGCTTCCACGTCGATACGCAACTCCTGAACGATCTGGCGAAGACCGTCAGTAATCTCAGGTCTCACCATGCTGATCGAGCAGGACTGAAGATTGCCGGACACATCGACATAAACATCCGGTCGAGCACCCAGATTGAGTTTCATATCGAGTGATTCTGTCGTGACAAGGTTAAATCGTTCGCCGTGGTTTGTTTGGTAGTAGAGATCGTGCGACTGAAGTCGAAATGAACCATCAAGAGAATAGTGCATTTCGGCCATGACACTATGAGAAGATTCCACATCGAGCGAAATCGAGGAGATTGATGAAATTATAAGATCGAAATCGTCCGGGTCCTCTGCCTTTTGCAGTGGCTGGAGCTTTATACGAACAACAGGCTCGTGCATGGAAAATTTGTAGTTCGCTTTCGGAAGAAGGCGAGAAATAAGATGGTGGTTGTCGTTCTGCGCTTTCGGTGCCTTCGGTTTTGATTTGAAGAGGGCAATCAGCACCGGCAGATGACGAGGATCCAAATCTACCGAAGGAGAGGTGACTACAGAGTTAGCAAACATAATGTTGGCGTTTCTTTCGTCCACTGTGCTGGCCCGCGAAACTTCAACTGTCTTGGAGAGCAGTGTCGTCTTGATCGTTGTCGTAGCCATCGGGATATAGAGAAGGCGTTCGGGTTGACCGTGGCCATCGTCCAAGCCAACGGATATAGATAGAGCAGCAGCCAGGGCCTCGTGTGCAATAGCTTCGGCGGGAAAATACATCCTGTGAGCTGGCGACTTTGAATCCAATCTATGCAGATCTATGCCAACCTCCTTCATCGCGGCGTTCAATTGGATCGGCGTTGACCCAGGCTTGATAGACTGGACCTTTTTGCTCATGCCCAAGAAACTCACTGCGAACTGGATCTCCTTGATGCCTCTTAGAATGGAACTGAAAAACTCTTTAGAGTCGGAAACTGTCCTCATTAAGTCTTCGCTTGTTGTTCCTGGCTCGTCGATTTCCTGGGCAATGTTGCCCAAGAAGATATCAACAGGTTCCTCATCAGCGCCAGGTGTCTTGACCTCAGCTCGGCGTTGCTTTAGCCGGTTCACGCATGCTTGTAAGTCATCAAATGGAATGTGCAATCGTCCCATCTTGATAGCCACAGCAGCTTCACGCAAACCCTCCATGGACTTGTACAAATGCCCATGGACATTAATAAAAACCTGATCGAGAATTTCCATAGATTCATGACCTTCGGCCGTGAAAAGTACGCTACGTAACGAAGCAGTCCATTCCGCTTGTTGGTCTTTGCCATGGCGATCGGCCAATCGAGCAAAGAAGCGTACGCGGTCGACCATCTTGCGGCGCGTATCGACTGCGAGGGTGAAGCTTCCAATCTGGACATTGCCAACGTCGACAATGTTAACAGCCGAGTTAGTCGCGACCACATCGACGAGCTTTAGCCAGCTTATGTTGCTATGAAGCCGTTTGATCTGGTCTTTTATGCGTGTAAGCTTCTTCCATGTCTCGCTTCGAACCACTGTGCTCGTAGCTCGTCGTGGCAGTTGTGGTTTTTGTCGAGCTGTGGCTTTGACATCGGATTTCTTATCTTTCGCGACTTCGGAATCACTGCCCTCGGGATCCAGTTCAACGGGTTTATTTCCTTCAAGCTCATTGACGTCTATCGTTACGACGAGTTCACTCAAGACAACGCTGCACCATGTCGGCTGGGCAAATGTTGGGCGGTGGACGTGGATCCCAAGGCCCCTGATTTCTATTCTGCATCCATCTCGTGGTGTCCATGCTATTCGGCGCAAGGACAGGTAGCCTATTCGCTGGATCGATACACCGGTGAGGATTCGGAGGACGGCAAGGAAGACGAAGGACGATAGGTACAGGAGGACTAGACAGCCGAAGAAGAAGGTTGGGTTAAGGAGAGCCATTCTGAAAAGGCACCTACGAGCCTCTCCCACCAAGATGACTGCCACAATACAATCAGCTACGAGCGGTGAAAAGTGGTGTGGTATATTAACTTACATTTCCTGATTGTGAAAGAGATACCATGCCTTCACTTGGTCTGACTTTAATTGAGTGAGGCGAGCTATGCCATCGCCGCAGGCTTGCGTCTAAATTGTGAGTCTATGTTGCCGATCTTCCGGTTCCTCGCACGCAAACTGTTACGGAGCGTTTGACTGAAGACGAAGAGAAGGTTTCGGTGGACGAGATGCGCCGGTAGCAGGAAGTATGTTGCTTATAGCCCCGTGTCTAACTCGGGGATGCTAGTCGTAAAGTGGAAAAGTAAACTCAACAGAGCTGACTTTTTATTATCGGGATCGACGGAAGTATATCGAACGCGATGCTCTACTAAGGAGATTTGGGGGAGTTTTTGTGACGTCAAGGGGGTCTGGATCCACGGACGAGGGTCGCTCGCTGTTCGAGAAGGAAAAAAAAGGAGTGTTACGCTGGCGCAAGCGTATAGGGCAGAAGATGACCGGACAGGGCAGGGCCAGCCAGGCGCGTTGTGAAATAAAAAACAAGCGTCAATTGTTTTTCTGCAAAAAAGCAACTTTAGCGGGGGATATGTAAAGTTAAGTTGGAAGAAGGACACTCAGATAGTACGTAGCTTTGAATAGCCGGATAAGATCTCAAGATGTATTGGCCAGCTCGTGTTTCTTTGGCTTGGACGGACGAACCGAACCGCACCTGGAACTTGCCCTGAGCTTGCTGACCTTGCAGGATCCAACACGATAACGAGTACGTACTCATTCTTCGATGAATCCCCACTCAACACAGATGAACGAAAGCTTGAGAGGTCTCCAACCTTGCATCAAGCCAACGAACCTCACCTCACTAAGTAAGATCAATTAGGGCAAGCACGGACCCGATTCATTTAGCAGGGAGCGCCTGGTAAGACATTTCCTAATCACCACCAATCTCAACATCTCCGCAGTATTACTACCTATCTCAGGTACCGTCTGTAAAAAGGAGACGAGGTCCAGAATGGATAGGAGATGTCGCTTCATATAATTTTTGAATGTCTTCATTTCCTGCGTAACACAGATCTTCACGCAAGTAGCCTTGTTGGAGCCATTCAAACTTGTGCCACGTAACCAACAGTTCAATTGACTCGTACTTGATGTATGTACAAAGTCCGCACCTACTTTACCAATAAATACAATGCTCCTTTGCTCTAAATATGTTGTTGGCTGAGTACCAGTGCGGGGAATGCATGTTATCTTTGAGTTCCGTATCCATCTAGAGCCGGATATTCATGTCCATCGAACACATATCTCAGTTTCCTGAAAGGGACAGATGCAGATTTCCAAGTCGAGTTACCACTCAAGTACAGAGTACGGACTAGGTATTTGATGCCCTTACAGAATGTGGTCTGAGTGTCTTTAATCCCTCCCAAACCTGGCCAGCTTGGACTAAATGATCCAGGTGCCATAGTAGAGACGTACCCCAGATGGCATCAATAGCATGCATGGTCGATCTAGTGCCACGGATGATAAAGACAAAAGGTCTGCGAAATTCGGCATCAGGGCGCAAAGAAAACCCTAAAAACACTACTGTAGCAACAGGTTGGTGCGATGCATGCGCAATGAAGGCCTCAATGTTTTGTTTCATTTCCACTATTTCGCTTTTTTCAACTCTATCTGCGTCATTGTTGTTTCATTCCACAGTGGCCTCTGATAAGCTCGCCAGTATACGACTTACCAATATAGTAAGTAGCGTGTCATAGCGGTGTTTTATTCCCAGTTGGTGTCCAGGTATTATCCTTACTCAACAGCGCATTTCCTAAAGGCTCTAATAAATCGGAAAGAAAAGAGAGAGAAGAACGATGCTTGAGCTTTCGAATGATGCAGTTCGAGGATATGATATTGATGTTATTGCGTCGAAGGCTTATTTCTAGATTCCTCCTCAGCTTGTTTCCGTAGCTCAACGATACGCTCGTCAATAAGCGCAATGTCAGCATCTATCCGTAGCATCTTTTCAAACATCATATCCTTATACTCCTGGTCTGTGAGCTTCTTGAGCGGAGTCCACCGCGTGAAGAATCCTCCCTTATCATCATCCACCTTGGGCTTGCGAACTGCCATGCGGTTTGCTATTATCTGCCCAACAGCTCCCACTGTTGTCCAGACAAACATAGCGGGCAGAATATTCTTGGGCCCCCCTAATCATGGCGTTAATTATGAAGCATTTGTTGTCTTGTCTGACTTACGGATCAAGCCACCAACAGCGCCTGCTGCTGTACCAGATATTGCACTGGCCATTGTCTTTTCGGAATTCTTGAGTCTTTCCTCACCGCCCCATGCTTTTAGAACAATACCTCTTGTGACTTGGAAAAGTGTCAGTTGGAACAAATAACTTTTTTCAGTTGTGTCAAATGGCCAACTTACACCAAAAGCTCGTTCCTAAAGTGAACCATTGGAAACCCGAAACCGCGCCCCAAATTATAGGGTTTGCCTCTTTAAAAATCGAGCCTCCAACACCAGCCAGAACACCAGCAGTGCCTACGCGATGTTAGTACGGGCTGTGTGAGGACACATCGAAGCAACTCGCCAGCGTAACCACCAAACTTCAGGGGTGGCAGCACAAGATCAACAACTTCGGGAGAGAACAGCCCACGAGATGACTGGCGTTGATGCAAGTGCATCATCTGAGGCTCTCGGCCTCCATTCTCAGTCATGATGCGATGATGCTGGGGGTGTAGAGACGAGAAATGCTGAGCCAGTAATGGTGACGTGAGTGGTTAAATAAAATTACAATAGGTAAAAAATGAAATAAGGTTACATGGTCCACTTCACAATTGCCATCGTCCGACTTGATATTGGGGTTGATGAGGCTCTGGCAGTGTCTGTATCTCAAGTTTTCCTAAGCGGGTAAGGACCAATAGCAGGGAACCACTAAAGACTGGGACAAATCCCGTGACATGATATGGAGATGCATGTCCAATTGAGTGGATTTTGAATGTGCACACCAAAAGTGATGACAAAAAGAGTAGATCATTTAATATGGAAGCTTCTCTTATCTAAAGTTACAATCTAAAGGTAAATTGGAGAGGTTAATAGAATTAAAGTCCATATATAACTAGTACTACTTTCTATAGGTATTCACGAGAACAACATTGCAAAGTAGTATTATTATTATTAATACAGGCGTGTATTTGTTGAATCTTGCTTGATAACTTACCTAAAAGTAGAATGCGGTGATTTCATAGCGTTTTACCCACCTGCCGGCTCTTTGACCCGCTGGTGTTGCTCAAAATGCAAGCGAGACAGCGTTCGAGTAGAGGGGTTGATTGGTGGGGCTTGGCCTCAAAAAGGGCTAGCGCCCACTTCAGGCCTGGACTGCAAAATTAAGGCAACCCTCAACTGGCGCCTCCATCATCATATTTTTCCACTACGCCGAGCAAATTTCAACTCGTCAACCCCAGACTCGGCAACATTGGTCGGGGCAAGTTAACAGTTCGCAACGCCCTTTTTCTCAAAAAATTACTCGATCGACTCGCGAGACTCTTTTCGATCTCGCCCTTCTCTACTGAGCGAAAGCTGAAGCTGAAACCCCGGTCGGCTTCGCCCTAAGCACTCGTTGGCGCATCGATCTAGGAATCGTTGCGCTTGCTCGCCTAACCGCAATCATGGGTGAGTACTATATACTGCTGTCCTGCGGGACCCCTCTTTGGTTACATGCCATAAGCCATCAACGGTTGCTAACTATGCTTCAGCTCCTAAGAAGAAGGAACAGCAGAAGATGTCCCTTGGGGACTTTCTGGCTGACAGTATGTCTTGTCCCGCCCCTCGCCTGCGCACTGCACCCCGCCGCATGCCCCTCGTTGACCCCATACTGACTATGACTTACAGGTTTTGGTGGAGGCTCTTCTTGGGCTGATGAAGTAGAGGAAACCTCTTACGGTAAGCATTGTTCCTCCATACGCACCATTGACTTCGATTGCTAACTTCTTTGTAGCTACTGGTATGTGCCAGGTTATATACGATAATTCAATTATAGTGGACTGACCAGATTCAGGCACTCAGGCTCTGCCCCCTTCCGATCGCTCTCGGTATACCAGCAACCTCAACTCTTCTTCCAGCTGGCAGGACCGGGGTATGTGTTGGTTTTGTCCTCAAGATTACTCAAGCTTACAGTTGCAGGTTTCTCCGTTCGCGAAGCTGCCCCTCAGACTCTCCCCGATAAGCCTCCCTATACCGCTCACCTCGGTAACCTGGCCTACGATGTTACCAACGATGCTGTGGCCGACTTCCTTACAGGCTGTGGTGTCGTCAACGTCCGTCTCATTGAGGACCGCGAGCTCCAGCGCCCCAAGGGATTCGGTTACGTTGAGTTTGAGACCCTTGATGGTCTCAAGCAGGCTCTTGCCCTTGATGGTGAATCTTTCGGCGGACGAATGATCAAGATCAAGGTTGCCGACCCTCGTGAGTTAATACACATCCTTCACACACTGGTTTTCAACTAACGTTGCGTAGCTCGTGGTGGTGATCCTGGCCGAGGAGATTCTATCCGTGAGATGGGCGCCTGGGACCGCAAGGGTCCTCTGGCTGATGCTCCTTCAAGGGGTGGTGCCCGCGACTTCGGTGACCGTGAGCGTCGACCTCGCGATCCCGCTTTTGAGAGCCGTCCCCAGCGTGAGTTTACCTGGGAACGACATGGACCTCTCGCTCCTCTTTCACCTCAAGAGGGCTCTGGTTCGCGAGATGGAAGCCGTCCCCGTGCTTCTCCTGACGTGCAGGGCGACCGCAGCGACTCCTTCCGTGGCAACCGTCGTGACTCTCCTGCTTGGGGTGAGGCTCGTGAGGGTGGTTCTCGTCCTCGCCCTGAGCGACCTGAGCGTCCCGAGCGAACTGCCACAGCTGCCGACAAGGACATGCAGTGGCGCGACCGAATGCGTCCTGACTCCGCCAAGCCTATCTCGCCCGATGGTAGTGCTCCCCCTTCGCCCGCTCTTTCCAACGCACCCACCGCTCAGGGTGGACGTCCTCGCTTGAATCTCCAAAAGCGAACAGTCTCCGAGGCCCCTGACGCCTCATCAAACGCAGCTGGAGAGGCCAAGGCCAGCCCCTTCGGAGCCGCTCGTCCTATCGATACAGCAGCAAGAGAGAAGGAGATTGAGGTCAAGCGCCAGCAGGCTATCCAGGAGAAGCGCGAGGCCGACGAGAAGGCCAAGGAGGAAAAGCGATTGGCCAAGGAGGCTGCTGCCAAGGCCGAGGCCGAGGCTGAGGCTGAGGCTGAGGCAAAGGCTGAGGCAAAGGCTGAAGCTGACGCTGCTGCGGCCAAGGAGGCTGAAGCTGCCACCGAGACTAAGGAGGCCCCTCAGACAACAGAGGAGTCTGCAGAGCCCAAGGCTGAGAACGCCAATGACGAACAGAAGGTCTCCGTTCGAACCCGGGAGCCTCGAGAGGCCCCTAAGTCAAGAGCAAACGAAGCTTCAAGCTGGCGCTCTGCCGGTAACGATCAGCGAGGACCCCGTGGAGGTGCCGGACCTCGAGGTGGACGTGGTGGACGTGGCGGTATGCGAGAAGCCCGAACTGGACCCCTTCGATCCAACGGCGCTGCTCCCCAACAAGCTTCTGGTTCCCCTGATGCCGAGCCTGCTACCCCTACAGCCGATGATGACGGTTGGACCACGGTGCCCAACAAGAAGGGTCGCCAGGGTCGCGCGATGGGACCCTAGAATGTGTACATATCGCCCCGTTTCTCTACGGTTTGACGACTGAGAATGCTTCAGCACAAGGCGTGGGTCGTCTGGCTTGAAGCCAAGAGCAGCGACTGCTACTTGGATGTTGCAATTTCTATCGTGAACAACACCCATCTCATACATATCCTCGACAATCTGATATTATAGGTTGCCAGGGCATGGAATTTCTCAGCCTTGGTTTTATATGACCACGGCATCCTGTTTTCCTCGTCTAACCGCCACACGTTGGACTCATTATCAGCTTCCGTGTCTACTTCACTCACTCAGGGGACCAGGAAGGCATTTTTGAGCATTTAACATTTGGCGTTTCGAGACAAAAGCAAAAAGAACGGCGGCGAATGGATGGATGAATGGAACGGAAACGTGGCATGCATTTGAATGATCACAGCTCTCTTATTTCTTTATGTTTTCTTTTTTTTGATTTCCCCAAAAACGTCTTTGCCGCGTGATGACGAGAGGAAGAAGGGCTAGGGTGGGGGGTAGGAAGAGGTGAAAGAAAGTAGGAGAGGGACTGAAAAGTTGCTTGCTCGATATAACGAGCACAGGGCAGTTCGTTTTCTCTAGACTTGGCAAGCAAGTTGAAGCCAGATCGAATCACGACATGAGCTCAAATTTGTATGCTAGGCGGTTTACGGGATCAATGAAATGTTCTTTGTTTATTTCTAGTTTCCCTGTCTTTTTTGTTTCACTGGTTTCTTGGTGTTGATACCTCGTCGTGCTTTCAAAGGGATTCAGTTGGATCTGTCGTTGGGTGAGGATAGATGTGACTATAGACGAGTAACGACCACATGATATCCCTCCTGTCTTGTGTTATTGCCATTCTTATAGATAGTCAAAGACTCATTTGCCTTCTTGGTCCTCCCATCGGAGCATTAGAAAAACTGACCGCTAAGAGCATAAGAGGTCAGCTTATGTTCCTTAGACAATAGTTCTTAGACTACTTATTTTTGTATCCTAAGACTAGCCTCCTGCTTCCATAAACGAAAGCCCTCGAGAACATTCCTCCTGACTCCTTCACTCACAAAGTCAAGTTTCCTACCGTCCTTGAAAGTGCTCCGCAAGGCTTCTTCTTCCGTCACCCACGCAAAGTCAACATGCTCGTCCTCATCAATCTTGACATCCTCGCAGCTCTCCACATCCACCCAAACAGTTAGCTTTCCCCAAACTCCATCATCGGCTCGGAAAACGAGCATATCGTACAGCACTTCCAGGTCCTTTTCCAGCGGGTCGTCAGGCATAGGTTCTTCGATGGGTGCTATACCCACGACGCCTTTCACCGCCTTGGCGCGCAGGCCGGCTTCTTCCCAGAGTTCGCGAACGGCGCCAGCGACGAGATCAGCGTCTACATCGTCGACGGAGCCGCCAGGTACTTCCCATAACAGAGGCCATGAGTCATGGGCTGCGCGACGAAGAAGAAGGATTTGGCCTCGGGGGTTGGTAACGAGTGCGCCAGCGATTAGATGATGAATTGGAGGGTGACTTGCTCTGAATTCAGCTGGGTTTGAGCCCGTGAAGGCGTTGAGAGAGGCGGGGATTATCGTGTAGGAAAGCGGTGGGGAGGGTGAAGGCGGCGGCATGGTGAGTTATGTTACGACGAGAACAAGTCGAAGCTCTGGGTATGCGACTTTTGCGATTTGCAGTAGGTTACTACAAAGGTTATCCTCCAATGACCCCAATTGTTTAGTTGTCCTGTTGGGGTTTGTGATGTGGTGTTTATATGAGAGTTGTACTTGATGGTTTGGCTTCCAAAGTACCTATGATTTGGTGGGTTTGTCCTTAAAGTATGATGACTTTGAAAAGCGTGCAGTTTTATCACAAAAGGTAGGTAGGGCTCATATGAGAGTTGTACAATGATTTGATACCTGATTTAGGCTGCTAGCTAAGAATGATTGGTTGACTTGCTGGTTGGTAAGAAATGCCTCCCATACCTACCCTCAAGATATCAGAAAAATTGACCACTGGAAGCATAAGAGACGAAATTACTAGGTCAGCTTATGCTCCTTAGACTATGGTTCTTAGACTAGTCATTTTTATTCCCTAAGACTTTGGAGGCCAACTTTTCTGTTGCCCATCAGCCTACTAACCTACCTACCTGGGTACCTACGTTGAGTCATACGCAAGCCATTGCTAGGCAGGAACAGCCGAGTGAGTGGCCCGAAACCTTTCTGCATTGAGCCCTCTACGACATTTCAATATTCGCAGTGGTTACTCAGTTGAGCTGGTCAGACTGAGGCTTACTTTTATCCAAGTCAACTACGACTACGTGACTCACTTGACAACAAGTCTGTATTCGATGTACAGAGCCTGATATGATCAGTAGATATCTGGCAACGGAAGTTTCCTCAAGGTCATATTTGTGAATAATGAGGATACATTATATCTATCCAAGACTCGACCATCTCATCTAGGTAATTCATATCGTTGGTCCCATCATGCAGTACCTAACCTGTACTTTATGTATCAACGCCTCGTCAAGAGCCCCTTGGGTAGTCTTCAAAACGCCAAAGCTCAGACATTACTCCATCATACATCTACCCGCTTATTAAAAATGCACGCATGCTAACCCAAACCCTCCTCCCAAAAACAAAAAAAAAGCATAGAAACGAATCATCACCAACCAGACGCCTAAGACATTTTGGCGCCGACCTCTTCCATTCCGTACTCATCCCACTCATCGTCTCCTCCAAGCTTTCTGCCTACCCAGATACCAATGGCTGTCGCTAGACTGCCTACCAAAAACCACCCTTCAAACCAGCCATCGACAAACGCAGGGCTCAATGCACCTCGCAATACACTCCCGACTGCCGAACCCAAGGCAGAAGGCAACTGACTGCGTAGCAAGAGAGCGGCGGAGATGACATAAGTTGCTGCGATCTGTCCAACAACCAGTGCCAGATTTGCTTGAGCTTGACGCAGTAAGCCGGGTGTCCACTTGGCAAAGAGGTGGAATGTTTGGACGACACTGTTGGCGCTTGCAACAAGAATGACACCGCTAAGAGCAAAACTGATGAGCCGCGCCCATGCGAGCTGGTCAAGCTTTGGGTCCCAATGTCGAGCGAGGATACTCAAGAAACGGTTGATAGGATCAGTGTTGGCAAAACTTGACGTGGGTGAATAAGCTCGGCGAATAGTCGTGATTGTAGTGGCGCCGATACGGTACAGACAGTACAGACTGAAAAGTTGCGAGGGGACAAGGAAAAGTCGACCAAGAGACGTAGACGCACGAACTGTTGCTGCACGATGACTCTTGAGCAGGGACACTCCGGATGCCAGGTTTGCTTCCATAGTCTCGAGACCAGCAATCTCCAATCGTAGAGATCGTATTTCCGCTTCATCGCCGGTTGGCCCACGCAGAGAGCCCATGACTTTACCAACAAGACCGCTTCCCTTGGCAGAGGATCCAGTCTGCGCGCCAGAAGTCTTTCGCTCGAGATACTGTAGGCGATGGCGTTTCGTAAGGAGCATCTCATTTGCTGTGTCCCAACCGGCTTGTTTCCTTGCGACGTCAGCGTCCGTGACGGGTCGTTTCCTTCGAGCCGTAAGATCCATAAATGCGTGCCACGGTGAAGAAACAGCAGCAAAGCCAGATAGCAGGGCCATCAGTGAGATACCAACGACACCAATACGTTCCAAGCAGCCGCGCGTCAGCATATCCGACAAGCTTCCATTCCCGTTGCTCGTCTTGCGCATCGCACCCTCTGGAACGGCCTGGCCAACAGACCAAAAGGCAAAAAGCCATCCCATGAACAGAGCTGCATGTAGTCCCCAGGTAAATCGAGGTAGCTTTCCCTTAGCCGTTCTTTGAAAACTCCATCCTGCGCTTGTAACAACTGATCGACATTCCAGCCAAGGCACCAACACAACCAGAAGGAACAGCAGGCTTGGTACTGTTATTCTCAGAGCCAAATTTCTGGAATCCGCGTTCACGACCTCAATTATTTCATCCATGATCAGCGCGCCGAGTGTAGCGGCCAATCCAACAGTAAGACCAAACGTCCAGGCTGCACCGCGCCGTCTCCAGCTCTTGGCACCGTGTTCAGCATGGACTTGTCGCAGACAAGCTGGCGCATGTGTAGGCAGAACGTGGTCTTCACCGTCGCGGGAGTCGGCATCGGTACTTAATCGAGGGAAGACATGGCGGACAACGAGGATCGATGTCGATATGCAGATAAAGAGAAATGGGAGGGCAGAGATGGACGAGGCGAGAGTGACAGGACGGGGAGGTATTTCGCAGGCATCTTCGCCGCAGCGAGTAAAAGGCCACATGTTGAGAGAATTATGTCGGTTCTAATGTGATTATATCGTTTGGTAGGTTGTCAAGGTCCGGCGCGGGGCCATGCAGATTGTATAGGAGGAGTATGTCTCCCTTCGTACGGCGTAGGCGAAAGGGTTGCTAGTATTGTCGTTATGTCGAGGCGCAGTAATTCTCCCTTCAACTGGTATTGCGGGCGCGGGTGCTACACTATAGGTATTGAATTGTGTTAAATTGAAACACGTCCCTTGGCCTTAACTTAGACCGAGGAGCGATGCGATAAGTCGTGTTGAATGAATCTAGCAACGCCACTTTAGGTTCTTCTCTGGGTCTTTTGTTTTTGAGAAGGTACAGGTCACCAGCGCAAATCGACTTTGAACTCGTATCGATCTTTGGCTTTGTTGTACTTTCGTATCAGGTATTTAAAAATGGGATTGTTAGCCCCTGGGTCTGGGGTTAAAGACTGAGAAATGGTGGCTTACGTCGTCGCATCCATTTCCCTGTTACAGTGACGTTAATCTGCCTCAGGCCAAAACTTCACTTCACCTCTGTTGCCGACCTAATGGAACTCAGGGTCCTGTCACTCACAACTTACATCCTTGTTAATAGTTTACCATTGGTCGATCGACTTGATGCATATGCATTGAAACGCAAAACATCAATCATGAGCCGCACCTCTGGCTATCAAAATTGGCCGTGGGAAGCACAAGAGACGATATTAATAGATCAGTTAGTTTATGCTGCTTAGGCCAGATTACTCAAGTTATTTATTTTATTTCTCAAGACTTTATGAGACTAACATTTCTGCTATCCCCGCTAGCCGCAATCAACGATGCGAAACTTCAATGTGATACATGTCACCTGTTGCGTTCCAAACATACTGCAGTGTATCGGATATCTTTAGCGCTGAAACCATCTACCGCTACTGATGAAATAAAGAGCCCCGGTCCTTGAAAACAGCATTGTTCATTCATGAACCTATTCGAAATATCCGAAATATCTGAAACATCCTAGGATACAATTGATTATGACTTCCGAAAGCACATCGCGGGTGCATGCTGCTAGGCTCCTCAACATGCAGCCATCTGCATTGCCATTGGCATTGTTGTCATTGTTCTAGTCACCTCCACTTCCACCTCTAGGCTCGCGGCCAGGTTGATCTTGCGCCTCCAAATCGATGCTAGACCTTTGGTCCCGTGCCGGCGCGTACGCTGGAAGACGATTCTCACTTCCCAGTAAGTTGTTCGTTGTGTTGGTATCCTGACCGGAAGATCCATCTGCGAGCTTATCTTTAACGTTGTTGTCGTCCTTTATCACACCACTCGCCGTCTCCGATTCCATGAAATCTCTGTCCGATTTAGGACTATGCTCAGGAGAATCGAAATCTCGTAACCGGTCACTTTCAGGAGGTCCGGTCATGTGGTCTTGGCAACCGTCTACCTGCTGCAATCCGATTCCATCCTCATCAGTTCCCGACAGCTGGTTCCGTTCGTTTTGCTAGTTGGAATCTGGCCGCGGAGGCGAATTGGCAGGCGCTGTAGATGAACTTGTCATAACATTGGCATTGCTTTTTGGGTCAACAGCTACAGCCTTTCCTGCGCCTTCGGATTTGTTTGGTGTAACGTAGCTAGAGTTGCACGAAATGGGTATCCTGGAGATCCTCTCCAGAGGATGCTTAGTAGTTGATCGCTTGACTTGTTGGTGTGAAACTTTGCCGATGTGTTCGAGACCTTCATCTCCACTATTCCCTTGCTTATCATGTGTCCCTGAGTTCTGTTCGCCCTTCATCTTCTATGATGTACCTTTCTGGACCGACGGGGTATCGTCTTCATCGTCTAAATCGTCGTCCACCTTCTTCTTCAACGCCTCTGCTTCACCGACCTCCATCTTGTGGAGCTGTTTCAGTTTCTCCTGATCCAGAGCCTGTTGCCCACTGACAACTTCGAACTCCCCAGAGTCGTCATCGCTGTCGTCGTCATCATCATCATCGCTTTCTCCAGCAGCACTGGCATCATCCTTAACCAATCGTCGGTTCTCTGTCGCTTCACTGGGCGAGCTGACAGTGACAGAGCCTTGTGGTTTGACGTTAAGCGCTTGGCCATGGTTGAATGGCTTGATCGTGGGATCAAAGGATGCAGGCAACCCCAAGGCGCGTGCGACTTGATGAGCTTCTTCATCAGGAGAGTTTTGAATCTCAAGTTCGTAGGTGCTACTTGCCTCACTATCGGCTTCGTGCTTTCCAGAAGTCGCGGCCAACATGCTCACATAAGTCTGTCGTGAAGAGTCGTTGGCCCGCTTAGACTTTTTCTTAACGCGCTTCTCTGTAGGCCGAACCACGACCACAGGTACAGGTGAGTATTGGAGGCAGTACTTGGAAAATGAATTGCGCGTGTTGACGAGCCCTTGAAGGCCACCAAGTGTACGTCCTCTGGTTCCCACAATGAGCATGGCAGGCTGGTACATCTGGATCTTGAGGGGTTGTCAGCCTAGGAATCTCACAAAAGAAGGCGTTTTGCTAACGTACCAGAACTTGGAAGGTTGTATGCAATTTGCCAACGGCGTATTCTAGAACGAGGTTGATGGCCCTGTTATTGCCATTACGGTCAAGAATGCCCCGCATAACCTTATCAGCATCTTCCCGGTATTCCCTATTCGAGTAACGCAATTCCTTCTCGACTACGCGTACGCACACAACTTCGTCGCCGTCATCGACAAGCTCTTCCAGCAACCACTGCAAGGCATAATCAGAGTAGGCATGCTCGTCCACTCCAACCATGAAGCACCGGGATCTGCGCCTGGCCTGATATCCCTTGTGTCGAACATTGAGCGTGAGCGAAATGGCATTATTCTTGGTCGGTTCGCCGGTTGGAACATTGTCGAATGCGACATGTTTCTGGAACCTATCGGGCGGGGTCTCGGTTAGCGTCGCCATGGGTGCGAAAAGGCCACAAAACAGAGGCAAAGAGTAGCAATAAAGGGTTTGAAAAGTGACAATGGGCAGGGGAGTGGTATGAGAGAAGAAGAGGGTTGTCAATGGCGATCGTAACGGAAAGATTCGAGAGCTCTGCGGGAATTTGGGGGCTGACAATCTGCTAATAAAGGTGGCTGTGATGAAGATGGCCTGACGATCCAGACCAAATAAGTGACGAGGAGAGTAGGCGAAGACCATTCATCCCCACGTCTACGGTAAGGTTTGTCGCAGACAGCGGGGTAACCATAAATAATAGTGGGAGCTCAGTGGTGGAGTCGAAAAGGTTGTTGTGAGGAATGGCCCGGCCAAGCAAATCAGTTCCACCCAGTCCAGGACCAGGACATGAATCCATCTTTGCAAGAGAGTATCATAAATGTGAACCCAGTCGCAAGCCTTGACGGTGATGGTTAACTAGGTCGCGCTGGGCGAACCTTTTTGCATGTTGCACTTGCTGGAAACAGTTGCTCAGTGTGGGGACGCATTATCGATGGTCGAAAGTCTTCCCTAGCTGCACGCGACACGTTCTTGGCATGGCGTCACATCCATCTCCAATAAGACCGTTTCGGACTCAATCTGACCAACTTTGGTGCAAGATAATAATCGATTCCGGATCAAGCAATTCTCGATTTATGCTTATAAATGTCTTCCGGGGTTCAACGCTCAAGCTGCTGGATGCAAGCGTATTGAGTTTGGTTCAGGTAACGTATCGTTACAAGCGAGATTAGGAGTCAAATTGAGAGATTGAGATTGCAACAAGTGCCTTCACAGTTTGATAGAGGGGAGAAGAGACAAAAAGATACAACATACCTTTTATGATCAGGGGAACTTGCACGTATACGACTATTGCTCATTTGCTGAGGCATTCCCTGTGGCAATTTGGGATTGGTCATTCGACGAAAGGAAACAGAGCCAGTGGAGGACTTCCTTTGAACCATCGTGTCTTGGTTCTGTGTTGGCTTTTGGTCGCTCTCGCGGCTTGAGCTGCGATCGGGTCGTGCATCGGGTGCGAATGAGATACTTGACTTGTGTGCAGAGGAATCATCGTCACTGGCCCTAACACTAGTATTGGATCCATCGACTGTGTTTGAGTCTGGGAAATAGTCGGCCTTTGTGCCACTCGGAGGTGAGTCTTGTGGTGGTATAATAGTTTTGGGAGAAACATCAGAGTCGGTGCGCCTAACTGAAACAGGCATTCTAGAAACGGTGGCCATACTGCTCACGATGCAGCGTTTCCAAGGATGCGATCTCGAGCGGACTGTAATAAGCCTTGTGGTTGAGTCGGTGGTCGGGCCGGTACTCTTATCGATAGATATGACTATCGTGAACGAACGTGTGTAAGTTTGGATGATAGTTAAATGTATCGATGCCTGAACTCGATAATGGCTAGTTTGGTTGAAGAAGAGAGAAAACCGGAGATAGATGGGCTAAGGAGCTTTCTAGATGATGAAGAAAGAAAGAATGAAAGCTCGCGCTTGCACAAAGTTGAGTCTTGGTCAAGTACTAAGGTACGCAATGCTTTCCTACCTATGTCGCAGGGTCTGCCAAGATGTAACTGCCGCCAAGACGGAGAGGCTAACTAGATGACGAACAAGCCTGGCTCGGCCTGGCTTAAGAGGAGAAGCCGAATCACAAAGAGCCGGGGTAAGGCAAGAGTGGATGGCAAAAGCTTAGGCCTGAGGACTCAAGATTGTGACGTCTTAGGTCGATAGTAACGCGGGTTTGTTGAAGTTGAGGAAAGAAGTGAGCTCCTAGTGATGTGGATGCGGGCGCAAGTAGAGAGACGGACAATAGAGCTTTGAGAAGGAAGTACTGGCGGAGATGGCGGCTGGGGGGGAAAGGTACGAGGCGAAATGGTGGAGAAGAGTGCTCTTTACAGTTGCTTGGACAATCTTCCGAATTGTGGTAAGTCAATCGGGAAAAAAAGCACGCCTGTTGTGCGAAAACGAAAATTATATTTCGTGATGGTTATGGTGTTGTAGCCTACCTGCCTGGTTCTTTGGGAGAGCGGAGCTGGCAGAGTAGTGATGACAGAAGATGGCAGGGACAGCGACAACGGTTGTCACAAAACGGGTGGGTTACTGTATATAAATAAACCGAATGATGTAGATTTACGGTGAATCGATTATTTATTTATTTTTGTTCGAGGGTCGCGTGGAGATGGTGTGGGCGTCTGCGTTTATGGCCAGGTTAGTTGCTTTCGCCGTTTGTATTGTAAGTGGACGAGGTGAAGCCACAGTCGAGATTTGAGTGGCAGCCAGAAATAAATAAGATTTTAAGGTTAAGGTTGATACCAGATCAGCAAAGGTCGAATGAAACTGTCAACTCTTGCTTGCCTTTGACGGTATAAGATGTAGGAACAAAAACAAAGACTGGGGACTCTGGAGAGGAGAAAGATTTAGGTTTTCACTACCGCTTCCTAAGGCCGAGAGGGAAAAGGACAACAGATGTTCTGATAGCTTTGATCCTGATCGCATAAAGGAGGGTAACATCTGAGGAAACCAAGAGGATTTAGACGGTGCCGAACGGATCGGCCCTTGGTCCACGTCAAAACAGACGTGTAGGCCCGAAAGGGAGGGTGAAATTAAACTGGGCAGCAACACGCAACACATACAGTACTAGCACCCGAGATTTGAATTATGACATGTTACAGAGAGTGTACGTGGAAACGAACGAATAAACCATTAAAGGGGTGAAATCCGATTCTCTGTCAACCATATTTACCACAAAGCAGACACACAAGGTGGGATCAAAGTTAAAGATTAGGTGGGTAGAGATAGTGAATGTGCAAAACGCACAGCTGACGTATCTTACTTTACCTACGTCAAGTCAGAGGTAAGTAAGCCGTTGCAGTACCGCTCTTCAGGGATTGGTTTTCTGCGTGTGACAAACTGCAGGCCAAGACGTAGCTCGATTTACCAAGCTGCAAGAAACATGTCTTGTCCGTGCTGAATCATTGGCTGGCCAGGATCAACGGCATGCTACGAGTAATAAAGACAGCCTATACTAAAGTCAAATCTCGAGATTACCAACGCAAGAGGGATGAGGGGAAGCGAGAGGCCTCTTTCACTTTATCCAGAGAAGAATAGGAAATGAACGACACGCGAGCAGTTGGTTAGTAGGTCGAGGTATCACCACAACCCACTCACACTGCACTACACTGACGCTGACTGGGATTTTGATCACATGGAAACTCTCTCTTGATTCTATACTGGAATGAGTAGGGCTACCTTGCTTACTGGGTTTTTAGATATCCACTTAATAAGGGGGCGTTTAGTTCGGTCGCTTTCCCCTCACTAATGCCACCTTGTTTGGTTTTGGGCAGCCAAAAACGCACAAAGATTTTCATTCATTCATTCATTCATCCATTCAAAGTTGAAGCTCACTCGTCTTTTCGTACAGAGCCAAGTGCTACTGCTACACCAACAGATATGAATGTCTTGGCCCGGCATTAAAGTCCCGAGTGACTCTTAGCTGACAGACTGCCAAGAGCCACTTACAATATTCGTACATGTATCTCCGTATACCTCTGTGTATGTATCCTAGCGGCGTTGAGGATTAATTCTTTGGGTACGATTCAAATCCATCCATCCCTCCCGTCCGCCCCGGACCCGAGTGGGGCGGGCTTATCTACCCTACGCAAAGCCCACTACGCTCGGGCTTTCAGTGGAGGACATCCTCTATCCGATGCGTGGGGCCGACTCAGAACAGAGCCTCTAGATCCATCCAAGGACCTCGTTTACGAACAGCCGAATCAGTTTCAACGACACTAGAAACGGTTTCTTGGCTAATCAATGTAGCGGAATCCATTTCTGGACATTCACACACTCGATGGTCCAACTCATGCAGGACAAAGAAGCGAACCAGAAAAATATACCAAGTGCACTTGACTCATCTCGCCCTGCCATTTCTTTTGTGAAACTCTTCACCGCATCGTCTTGTCGTACCAGATTAATTATTTAGCCACCAGCTTGTATCGTGTATCCTTTGTACAACTGCCCAGCCAGTCAGTTTTCGTATCAAGACCACATGAGGCTCCTTTGGTCTTTCAGCTGTCAGATCAGTTACCAGACCTGCATGCTCTGCCCTGTTTCTTGGCATTACCCCAGAAAGTAGGTATTATTAGGGTCTTCTATCACTTACACCATCGTGAACCAAAGTACGGTAAGTAACACGATGAAGAATGGTCTGACCCAGGAGGTACTTTTGGTACGTGGCGGTCAAGTAGCTTGACATTACGGATAGAACTTTCATTGCTTTTGCTATTGGACCAGTTGGTGTTCAGCCGAGGCTGTCATGTCATGCCCTACCAAGGTATCGTTCATGAGTAAAGACAGCATCAACACATCAAGATATTCAGCATCGCTGTGAGGTAGAATTGGAATTTATTAAGTACAATCACCCGAAAATAGATAAAACTCTTGGATCTATACAATCGATAGCTATCTGGCCTAGTCAGCATACTTGAGGAGCAAGTCGCATCTCTAGGGACTTGTTCGAGACAATGAGGGCCAGGAATGGGAACAAGTGTACCACAACAAAAGTGATTCCAAAGCTATACACGGTATGTAGTATACCAATACCAAGATGTCTCAGTTTCTTGCTAGTGACCAATTCTATGAGAGCCGGCACGTGCCAACTTGGCCGTGGTATTCGCAACCCTCCAGATTTCGACGTATCTCAAAGCCGCCGTGATCGTCTTCTCAATAATTTTGAGTTGACTTCGTTAAGAGGCTGTTGGTACCAAGTAGCCGAAGCCACTGACTACGTCCACGTGTTGGGCTTCGTATACAACATTGACCGGTCTGAGACTGTTGTTCGCTTCGAAGTCCAGAACCAGACTAGTTCTTTGGTGTTCTTTGTTGGCTTTGCTCAAGGTCGAGCGGATAGAGTCTGAGCGGCGTGATGATGATGATGCAGAAGGGACTTGACAGACACCCATCCCTAAAAGGCGCAACAGGAGTGTTTCCTTGGTTTAGTACGCAATGAGTTGTGCGTATCTGAGCGAATAATATCTGGAAGCTAGGCATTGCTTAACCTGTTGAGCAATGTACAACAGATTCTTCAGTGACTAGACACATTCCACGTAATGTTCAAAAATTCAATCAGGTTGATGGCTGGCACAAGTTATATTGACGATGTAATCTTACTTCGTTAGGATCATGATATTGATTAAATGACTTTTGATTCCTTTTATTCTTCATAGCCTTTTCAAAGGCCCTCGTACCTCTAGGAGGAAGTCCCATATCTCTGCCGCACATACAGCCAAACCTGAGAAATTCTCAGACTCTTGCACGAGCATCACCAACTCCGAGACGCCTTTGCCATGCTATACATCCAATCAAGTTGGCCTGCATAACCCCAGGTAATGATTCTCCTGGCCCTGGGCCGTTGTGGAGTACTCAGCCTCAGCGCTTTATGCGCTGTTGAGGCTCGGTTCGAAGACCCCACGATTTTTTGAGAAAAAGTGACTAGCCAGTTCTCTCTAAAACACCTCAGTTATAGGTGCGGGACAGGTTTCGGAGATACCAGTCCACAAGCTTTCGTCCCACCTTGGCCTCCGAGATATGAATAAGGTCCTGTAAAATAGTTAGTCAAATGTCCAAACTTTATTCTAGAGCGATAACTTACGCCTTGGAGAGCATAGTCAAGGTCGCTAACATTGACAAGCTCGCCGTCAAGCAGACCCTGGTCCTGCCAGCGCAATTGCTTAGTTCGCTGCTTAGTAACCAGGAGCCATGATCGAAGCTCCTCGGGCTTCACCTCGAGGAAACCAGCAAGCTTGTTGAGGTCCATGGTGGTGTAAAGGCGGAGGTAAGACTTGATGGTAGGGCTCCACATGTTGGTCTTGACCTCGTCCATGAAGACAGCGAGGTGGTGCTCGACGGGGTCGATGTTGGCCTCGGGGTTCTCAAAGTCTGGGGGAACGGGGGAGATAAACTTGGGGCACGCTGTGCGGAAGAGCTCCTCAAAGATGGGGAGGGACTCAGGGCCACCGCGCTGGAGCTTGAGAAGCTGGTCGCCGTACTTCTCACGGAGGGCGCTGTGGATGGTGTCGTCCAGGCGAGTAGGCTGGAAAGCGACACAGATGGCGATGAGAGCATACATCTGCTCGTTCTTCTTAGTGATAGAGTCGTACTGGGCGCTCTTCTGGAAGTTCTTGGTCCTTGAGACGTAGATGAGGATGTGGCTGAACATGCGGATGGCATCGGCGTAGCGGTGCTGCATCATGTAAGAGAAACCAACATAGTAGTAGGTGGTGAAGTGGGCAGCCATAACACGGGCGAACATGGCCTTCTTATTAAGCTCAATGTCGTCGAGTGTCTTGAGTGCCAGGCTAAAGTCACCAAGGAGACAGTGGACTCGGAGAAGACCAATGATGGAGAAGTAACCCAACATCTTGTAAAGGTTCTTGTTGCCGTATTCGCCGGCAACAGCTGCAGGGTCCTCTCCACGCTTCATGGCACCGAGCTGCTCGGTGATCTGAGATCGTTGGATGAGAGAGTACAGAACGTTGAGAACACTGTAGCAGCCCCAGGTGTTGGGGTTCTCACGGAGAGCCTGACGCTCCTCCTCGTTAGTTGTTTGGCGGGCAATTCGCATTCGGTACGAGGAGAAAGAGTTAAACTGGTAGATGAACTCATCGATAACATCCCATGCCCAGTAGTACTACAAACATATGCATTAGCCCAATCCAACCCAATATATACGGCTCCGGGGAAGACCAACAGAAGGGGGCTCGAGATCGACGGGTCCCTCGGAGTTCAGGATGAAGTGGAACAAGCTGCAGTAGGCATCGTAGCTCTGGAACTTGGCCTCGAGAGGCGCCTGGAAGTCGAGAGGCTGAGCAGCCTGGACAAGTCGGCTCTGGATGTCATCGGTCTGCTGGGCGAGGTTCAGGGAGGTGGTACGGCTGAGATCATCACCATCCTCGTACTGAACTTGCTCCTTGTACTCGGCCACAAGAGCCTCCTCCTCGACGTCGCTGTCGTCATCGATGGCGCGGGCCGGAGCCACGCCGTTTTGGTAAGTAGCCATCGTGTCGTTTATATTGTCCGAGTCGAGTCGCGCGTCGTCTCGCTCGTCTCGTCCAGTCGTCACGGTGAAGGGGGGGTCAAATTTTATCAAAAGCGATTTTTTTGGTGAACTAAGGTAGGGCTTCTGTTTGGCGCGCGGGGTCGGACGCTTAGTCATACGATTTTGAGTGGGGGGGGGAAGGATGGGATGCGGCGACATCAACCTTCAAGGATTCGCCTTTCAAGGTTCAACTATTATTGCCGGATAAGGAAGAGGAGCTTTGATGTTCAACAGCATTTTTTTGAGTATGTATGAGTCATTCTTAGTCGATTTGCAGATATATCGACAAAAAATCATGCATGATGAAAAAGTGAACTTGCTGACCATAGGTGTTTAGTTTCTGATTAGATTAGTCACATTATAAGAGTAACGGCTGGAAAACTGTATCGTTCACAATTACCGATTACTTATTTAAAGGGCGACAAAGTTTCTATCTATCTATCTCGTTCTGGTTGGCACAAAAGACGTTTTCTCCCCATATCCATATTTAGAACTTTTTTTTTTACTTGGGCCATTTTTACATTCCTACCTTGAACCCCACCATCGTCACCTACCCTACCGTTACTTGCCCAAATCACTGTCGTCATAATGCCTGTTGTCACCCCGGACAAGCTGGCAAGTCTGCAAAGACAATCCAGTGATATTCGAAATGTGAGTTCATCTTGACATGATAAAGAATACTCATACTAACAGCTTGTAGATTTGCATCTTGGCCCACGTTGACCATGGCAAAACTTCACTTACTGATGCTCTGCTCGCCACAAATGGCATCATCTCACCAAAGCTGGCGGGAAAGATTCGATACCTTGACTCCAGGCCTGATGAGCAGACTCGAGGAATCACAATGGAATCGTCCGCCATCTCACTTTACTTTGCCATGCGTCGGAAAGCAGCCCCCGACGCTGAGCCTGAGGATAAGGAGTACCTCGTTAACCTGATTGATTCACCAGGCCACATCGATTTCAGTTCAGAAGTCTCAACAGCCTCAAGACTGTGTGATGGCGCTGTTGTGCTTGTGGATGCCGTTGAGGGAGTCTGCAGTCAAACAGTCACTGTACTTCGCCAGACATGGACCGAGAAGTTAAAGCCTCTTCTCGTCATTAACAAGATCGATCGACTCGTTACAGAACTTAAGATGACACCCGGAGAGGCATACATCCATTTGAACAAGCTCCTAGAACAAGTAAACGCTGTGCTGGGAAGTTTTTTCCAGGGCGAACGTATGGAAGAGGATCTTAACTGGAGAGAGAGAATGGAGGAGCGAGTCAACGCAGCGACAGCAGCCAAGGAATCAGCCATTTCCGATCAGGTCAGCGATTCAGGAGAAATCTACTTTGAGGAGAGAGACGACGAAGACATTTACTTTGCTCCCGAGAAGAACAACGTTATTTTCAGCAGCGCCATCGACGGCTGGGCCTTTACTTGCAGACAATTCGCCGCCATGTATGAGAAGAAACTGGGCATCAAGCGTGGAATCTTGGAAAAGGTCCTATGGGGCAACTTCTACTTGGACCCCAAGACGAAAAAGATCTTGGGCCCCAAGCATTTGAAAGGAAGAAACCTGAAGCCTCTGTTTGTGCAGTTGGTGCTTGAGCCAGTATGGACAGTATACCAGGCAACAGTAGGAGGTGACAATGGCCAAGGAGACAGGGAACTGCTGGAAAAGGTTACCAAGTCTCTCGGCATCAAGATCACTCCTCACATGCTCAAGTCTCGCGACCAGAAGCTCCTCATGAACACTGTCTTCGCAGGCTGGCTTCCTCTATCAACGGCGCTGCTGGTTTCCGTTATTGAGTCCCTTCCATCACCTCCAGCTGCTCAGGCTGCACGACTTCCCGAAATGCTAGAGGAATCGCCAGGAGCTGACCATATTGATCAAACTATCAAGGACGCCATGATTTCTTTCAAGCACGAAAAGTCCGACCCTGTCGTTGCCTACGTTAGTAAGATGGTGTCGATTCCCGAGAGCGAGCTTCCTGAGAACAAACGGCGTGCTGGGACTCAGATGAGCGGCGAAGAGGCTCGAGAGCTTGCACGCAAGAAGAGAGCCGAGGCAGCCAGAGCTCAGGCCACGGCCGGTGAAAACGGCACGGAGAGCATGGTGACTTCAATGGATGCCATCAATCTTGATGACTATGCTCCCGAGCTGGAAGAGAAGAAGGTCGACCCTGAGCACCTCATCGGATTTGCTCGTATCTACTCGGGAACACTGTCTGTTGGTGATAAGCTCTACGTTATCCCTCCCAAATGGTCACCCGCTGAGCCCAATGCTGAGCCTGCGCCTCAAGAAGTTACTGTCACTGCGCTTTACATGCTGATGGGACGAAACCTGGAGGCACTCGAATCGGTTCCTGCCGGTTGTGTCTTTGGTATTGGTGGTCTGGAGGGCAAGATTCTGAAGTCTGGAACATTGTGCAGTCGTCGTGAAGGCGCTGTCAACCTTGCAGGTGTCACCATGCTGGGCAAGCCCATCGTTCGTGTTGCACTTGAGCCTGTAAACCCTGCCGATCTTGACAAGATGATTCAAGGTTTGAAGCTTCTCGTGCAAAGCGATCCCTGTGCAGAGTATGAGCTTCTGTCCAGCGGCGAGCATGTCTTGTTGACTGCTGGTGAATTGCATCTTGAACGATGCTTGACTGATCTGCAGGAGCGATTTGCCCTCTGTGAGATTCAACCTGGTGCTCCAATTGTTCCCTACCGGGAGACAATTGTCCGAGCAGAAGAGATGCGGCCGCCAGTGAACAAGGAGCTGGGACGTGGTGCCGTTGTTGCCACAACCAGCTCCAAGCAAGTCACGATGACCCTCCGTGTACTACCAATCCCTGAAAAGGTCACCGATTTCTTGGTGAAGAACGGTGATGCAGTCAAGAAAGTCTATGACCGTAAGGCGGAGGCGGGAGAGGAAGGCGAAGAAATCGTTGCCGAAGCTGAAGTTGCAGCAGGCAACACCCTGTCTGTGGAGGACTTTAAAAAGCAACTTAAGGAGAAGCTAGAGAAGGGCAAGGGCAGGGAGGTCTGGAAGGACTGCATTGACAAAATTGTGGCTTTCGGGCCCCGACGAACCGGACCTAATCTTCTTATCGATTCTACTGCGGATGGTATCTTTGCCAGGGCTTTTGCTCCCGAGATGGCTGTTGAGACCGCTCCTCGCGCAGATGAATCTCTTCACCCTAGTCATCTGACTGACAAGATCTCCTACGCCTTCCAGCTTGCTTCAGCTCAAGGTCCTCTGTGCAATGAGCCTATTCAAGGCGTTGCTGTTTTTGTCGAGGATGTTACTCTCAACCTCGCCGAAGACGATTCCTCAGCTCGTGATAAGCTCGGACGTCTGACGGGCGAACTTATCAGGACTTTCCAATCCTCCCTTCGCGCGGGATTCCTGGATTGGTCTCCCCGTCTTATGCTTGCTATGTACAGTGTCGAGATTCAAGCGTCCACCGAGGTCCTCGGTCGTGTATATGACGTTCTGACTCGCCGTCGCGGCCGCGTCAACGCCGAGCTGATGAAAGAGGGCACACCATTCTTTACAATCCAAGCCCTGGTCCCTGTGGCCGAGAGTTTTGGTTTTGCGGACGAGATGCGCAAGCGTACCAGTGGCGCAGCCCAGCCGCAGCTTATTTTTGCGGGATTCGAGATCCTAGACGAAGATCCCTTCTGGGTCCCCTTCACGGAAGACGATCTGGAGGACCTTGGCGAGTTTGGTGACAAGGAGAACGTGGCGAAGCGTTACATGGATGGTGTAAGGAGGAAGAAGGGGTTGCTTGTCGAGGGAAGAAATGTGGCTACGGATGCAGAGAAGCAAAAGACACTGAAGAGGTAGACAGCCAGTCAAACAAGAAGGAATAAAATTATGCATTCATGCTTCAAGTCAGGCACCAGACCGCCAGTGGGGAGGTTTCATCAGCTGCAGGTGTCCTACTGTGGCCATGAACGACGGATCTCGGTGACCCTCTTCCGGGCATGAACACGTCGTATCGCTCCCGGGTATCACGATGAGTTTTCAAGACTCGTCATTCTAGTAGAATGATGCAGCTTGATATCTTCCACTAACCTTGATTAACTCGGGCATCGAGATGTTCTCATCAAATCCTCCTCGTTGAGATCAGCGATGACCATCAACTGTCTTCAAAACCTTGGAGGGTTTCTGTAACTTCCAAGTTTTTCAACTGCATGGCTTGATCCACGCTGTCATTGAATTCTGGCTCGATTGATGCCTTATCCTACAATATAACAGTCCCCCACTCTCATCTTGTTGTATTCAAGACACATCTTACACGTTGTACACGTTTTGCGGTGTCTTACCACCGGGTCGGATCTGGTCCCTCGCATCTCGAACTCTAACAGTGGCTGAGCTGAGCCTCTCAATCTCCCAAATCTCATCCGCTTCCGCTTCCGAATCTACGAATTATGATGAGTTATTTATGCAGAGCTTCCTATTTGCCAATATTCATGGGCTGAAACTTGTCTAAAGGGGCTTCCTCGTCTCTGTATGGCTGAGTTGAATCTGTCTCTCTCCGCCATCTGATCTAGAACTTACTACATGGAGTGACATGTCAACTGCGGAAAGAGAAATCATCATATTTTGTCCCTAACTTGTCTCGCTTGTCTTAGACAAACGCTCGGCATTTTCTCCACGATTTCGGCAGCTAAGGAGAAGCCGTGCATCCCCGGTGGATTCTTGTTTGCTTTTGCTGGGATTCTTCCCCTGCCATGAAACAGGGCGGCCCGTTCAACCTTTCCCTGTTGGGGATGAAGCCATATGAGAGATCCTTCTGGGCGGCCGATTTTATTTGCTTTTACCAGGTACGAGAGTAAAACTTTTTTTTTTTTTTTTTTCGCGGATGGAGTCGATGTGAGGGAGAGACCTGTGGAAGGTTGGACTAAGAAACAATTGGAGCTTTGGCTCCTATCCTACTAATGTCAGGGTGTTCTTTTCTTTCGTTGAAGCTGAGCACTAAAAGAAAACCAAGAAAAGGAAAGAATAGAAAAAGGAGCTAAAGCTAAATGCACAATCCCAGTGGCGGGTTGGGTTGTTGGTCATATATCGCAGAGTTCCCATCTATTCCCGAGGATCTGGTTTTGATCTTCAACTAACTTAGACGTTCATTGCCTTGTGTTACAGGTCGTTCAGTATGGAGCCCAGGACATCTCTTGCAGGAAATGTTGGAGACATGGCAGACCTCAGGTCTTACAACATCGAGGCCTTTACGTTACTTGGCATCGCCATGTTGGTCACAGCCTTGAGATGTGGTGTGCGTATCAGCACAGTTGGATGCAAGAACCTCTGGGCAGATGATTATCTCGTCATCTTGGCTGCTGTAAGTTTGCAAGGCTTGTCAGTCTCCTGGTATGTATTGACCGTGTCAGGGAATCTATGCTATAGAGACAGGTTTAGCATATTCAGTTGGCAACGTTGCCTTTGGACTGGCCAACAACTCCATCACGGACGAGCGGCGGGCTTCTTTACAACCTGACGATCCCGAGTACCAAATTCGGTAGGCCACTGCTGTATAGACCTTGCTATGTAATGATACTAACAGCCCTTTCCAGTGTACTAGGTTCCAAGATCCAACTCGCTCTCTGGGCAACCTATTCCTCACTTCTATGGATCCTCAAGGCATCCATGTGTACCTTCTACTATCGCTTAACAAAGGACCTTGAAGGATATCGAACCCGTGTCATGATCGGCTTTGGTTTGATCATTACATCTTTCGTGGTTGTACAGATGAACCTGCTACTGAGTTGCAGTCCTTTCAGCCAGTGGTGGCAGATCTTCCCAGACCCAGGTGCCTTCTGCCACGCTGCCATCTCACCCAGTCTGATATGGACAGGCCTTTCTTTCAATCTCATCACAGACTTTTACCTTATTATGATTCCAATGCCTATGCTTTGGAAGGCTGCTATGCCTTGGCCTCAAAAGGTCGGTCTCATCACGCTGTTCAGCTGTGGTTTGTTTGTCACCATGGCTGCCGTCCTTCGAGTTGTGCTCCTTGTCTCCGTAAGTATACTGCATTCCCTTTATTACAATCATCTAATCGTGCCAAGGAACCTCTCAATGGACCTCAGCTTGCTGCTTCTTGGGCAGTTCGCGAAACCTTTGTGGCTATCATGACTACGAACATCCCTATGCTGTTTCCGAGCTTCAAGAAATGGGCGGTTCCCATCGTCGAAAGAGCTGGTTCGTCACTCAGCCTCAACCGTTCTCCTTTGAGTACCATCACCGACTCGAGGTTCTCTGGAGCTTTGTCTCTGGACGTTTGGAAACGGAGAACACGAGAAACATTCCGCTTTTCAACCAGTGGTCCTACCCCACCCACCATCAGAAAGAGCGATATCACAGTGGGCTTCCCTTACGCCATGTGGGATTCGCCCGTGACAACGCCTGAGAAGACCAAGACCAGATCTTCTATCTTGATTCAGCCTCTTGCTTGCCATCCTGTCCGTACCATGGTTTGTGTCGAGGCAGTTCGCGCAGATCAACGGTTGAGCACCACAAGCGACACAAGCGAGGCTTCCACGGTATCTTGGGCAGAAACATTGGTCAACTCCCCTCGGCCACAGAGATCCGAAATTATTATTCCGCTTGTCCACCAAGATGGATACAGCAAATTTGTCTAACGCCTTTGTAATGAGTATCGATAATTTCCTTTGTATTCTTGTATGATGGATGGTACGACAAAGACGATAACGCCTTTTCACCGATTTACACGATACACGAATTCATGTTAATAAAAATAGATAAAAAGCTATAGATCTGCATATGGGTCGGACATTGGGTCTCTTGGTTTTATTCTGCTATCAGTCATCTTGGAGTGTGTTGGACGGCCGGTTATGTTTCAACCAACAAATTATTACTTTGTTATTCATTCACTGTATTTATATATATATAGAAAAACAAATAATTTTTATGTCATCCGAGGTACTATAGAGATTCTTTCCGCGTCGCTTCTTCTTTGATGAATTAAATGGTGCCAGATCTGATGCTGAACACACTAATCTTGATGGTGAGTCTTTGTTATTCCTATAAACTGGTGATTCTAGTTCTCGAACAGAGGCATCTATTCCTGGACTCGAGGCCATGAAAGAATACACTAAAAACGGCTTCATGTTCGAAGCCAGGCTTTTTCAGAGTCAGTAGGCAGTGAATATGTGCTCGAGTATCAAAGCCTCTCATCACAAAGAATCTTCAAGGCTTCTCCTTGATCATTTAATAATTAAGAGGTTCAACATTTCTTGAGAAGCTATCTATACAAACACAAACACAAACTTCAAGCACAATTCGTTCAAACAAACAAAATCAACACACTCAAAATCATACGCCATGGCTTACGCACGCTCTAGAAGAAAAGCTGCAACTCCTGTTCCAACAGGTCCCAATTCGCCAGCCACTCCCACCAGACAAGAGTCACCCTTGCAGACACTGGAACCTCTAGCTCGGCCGCTCAAGAGGAAGCGGAACAGGGATGTCGACGACAGTCCAGTTCCGTTGAAGCTCAGAAAAAAGAGCACAGCGCCACTGGAGACTTCTCGAACTCGAACTCGGCTGTCCAAGCCAGACTCGGAATCGGATCCCAATTCTCGTCATTCTCAAAGCTCTACTGGTCCAGACGCTGCGATTATCGAAGAAAACGAATCCAAAAACGAACAACACCCTGCCTATGCCCATGTTCACAAACTGTTCAAACATGATGTTGTAGCAAAAGATGTGTCTGATGACAATCAACACACAGGTCTCGAATACTTCCAGGCCTTTCCCCACGACCCACAATCAACACTTTGCGTTGAACACTTTCTTTCTCTTGCAGAAAAGTAGTACTGGAATCGCAAGCCCACAGCGCATTCTCATCTAATGGCTATTCCCAGAGACACGACGACCAGGCCTGACTTTTCAAATTTGGCTCTGCCTGTCTGTGAAGAAACATGGACTATCAAGGATTTCCAAAGCTTCAAAGATGAACTGAATGAAAAGATCACAGACACCACCAAGTCAGCATATATCAGAGAGTACTACCGAGTGGCACACCTTACTGGATCCAAGCCCAGGTGCGAAATTTTTGACACATCAGCTATTGCTTACTTTTCTATGTGCGCTCAGTCCCCGGATTTTCAACCTCCTGCCAACGGTATTCACGACACTTTTTGGGACATGCAATCCTTTGAAGATTTCATGGCCAATGATGACAGAATGATTCGTGAGACACCTGACGAATGCAAAAGTCCCGTTCCAGTGATACCTCAAGGACTCGATGAGGAGATGAAAGGCAAGTACAAAACTTTTCTTTTGACTCGAGGAATCGATTTGGAGAGTCCTCACATCAAATGCGATCATGAAACATCCGTTACGATTCTAGGAACCGATGAGAAGAGTTCTTACACCGAATGTGAGGATTGTGGTCACAGACGAGAGGTAAGTATACATATGTAAGTAAGACTATAGACTGTACTATAACAAAAAAGAGAAGATCATTTCCCATTTACTGCCTTATTCTAGGCATCGAAACCACTAATGTGAGATGCAACTACAAAATCCTGCTTTTTATCATGATAGCCTTAGGGTAAGCAGCTGCGGCTGAAAGGGAAAGATTCCGCGTGCCTGATGTGACCCACCTTGAGATTTTAGACCAGTCAAAACCCTTCTTTCAAGGCAAACAAATTCAGGGCAGCAGGCATCTATTATCTATAACAGCGGGGGCAATTGCCTAGCGGCCTCCGCCAGACCCGAGTTCAGGGGACCAAGAGAACCGGGCCTGGGCTGGACCTCCTGCAGCGTGCATGCCCTGGCCCCTGCCCCCCATAATCATAATCATAACCCAACTCAAGGCAGCTGATGTAACTCCACTCTCGTTGAGAAAAAAGGCAGCCATTCAGCCATCATTTCGTGGTGGATTCACCTGCACCTATTAGCCAACTTCGCCTCGCAACTTGGACTCTGCCTCTCCATTACTCTCTGTAGTACTAATCTTTTGTGCCACGATGCTATACTGAACGAAGAAGACTCAGTCACGAGAACAACCACAACTTCGCTACCCAACTTCGCCTACTCTTTTGGAAACTGCCAATTTCGCTTCTCACCTTCCTTTCTCTTCTTTTATTATTACCCTCTTCTTAATCTACCTTCTAGTCTCACTCGTTGCGCGACATTGCCGACGCCCCGAGTTACGACACGCACGCCACCGCGAACCCCTCCATCCCTGACACAATCTCAAGGCTGACCCGTCTTTGCACCTTACGATACCTTGACCTTCATTCACCAGGACTACCTAGCCAGCCTGCTAATACTACACGATGCGTCTGTTCGGTGGAAAGAACAACAAGTACAAGGTCGACCCTCCCAAAATCAGGATCGAAAAGGTTGTCGTCGACCGACCTGCTCAGAAACCCAAACCCAAACCGAATCCTGCCCTCAGTGGCTCAGCATCGCGCTCCTCATCTTCTCACCGTCCTTCTCCGAAACCTCTGGCACGTCAAGCTAGTCACTCGCCGTACCCCTCCTCATCCGATGAGAAGCGTCTGGAACGTAAGCGCAAGGCCCCCTCTGTGTCGCGTAAATCACCAGCGAGCGATCGTATCGAATTCGACAAAGACAGCGATGGCGAAGATGACGGATGGATGACCCTTGACACAAAAAGACAGCGAAAGGGCACAGAAGATAGTGGCTTCGTCGACCCCAACCGGAAGCTGAGGAACGTAAGGGCCTTTGAAGAGCGCATGGAAAGCCGAAGGTTCATTCATGCCGTGGATGTGGCATCGCTTGAGCACAAATGCGTACCTGTGATGGGTGCTCAAAAGGACGAGGTCGCTATTAAACTGCAATATCCTAGCTTGCAACCCCGCGAGAAGTGAGTTCACTTGGTTATTCACGCCCAGAATATTGAGCTGACATTATTACAGATACGAGCTAGTATGGGGAAAAGACAAAATCGATGCCGTTGAAGCAAGCATCAAGGTAGTTCGCCATGTAGCCGAGACATACCTCACCGAAGAGGAAGCCGAGCCCTTTACAAATCCAAACGGCGGCATCATCCGAAGGCTAGAAAAGGCTTCCAACAGAAACATTCAGGATTTGATGGGTTTCAAGGCCGCTTTGCGCGAGTACAACGAGAAGCTCCGTGCTCTAGTCGACGACGGTGTAATTGCCAAAAACCTCGATAAAATGCATGAGCTCCCTCAGCATCTCGTGGCTTTCATACTTGATCAAATTTATGACCGGACAGTGGCTCTCAAGGTGGAACTCCTCTCCAAGTACGAGAACGGAACCGACTATGTCTATGGCGAACTTCTACACCCATTCATTTCTAAGGTCCTGGTAGAGCAAACTCGAATGACCTCTGGTCAGGTCTTTGTCGATTTGGGCTCAGGTGTCGGAAACGTGGTTTTGCAAGCGGCCCTCGAGATTGGTTGTGAAAGCTGGGGCTGTGAAATGATGGAGAATGCTTGCAACCTGGCCGAGGAACAGAAGAAGGAGTTTGATGCGCGTTGCATGTTGTGGGGAGTCCGACCAGGCAAGGTGCATCTCGAACGAGGTGATTTCCGTAAGAACGCGCCCATCCATGAGGCACTCAAACGTGCGGACGTGGTCCTTGTCAACAACAAGGCCTTCACATCGCAGCTCAACGATGACCTGGTTCGAATGTTTCTCGACCTCAAGTCTGGCTGCAAGGTCGTGTCCCTCAAATCCTTTGTCGCCGAGAAGAGCAACAACCACAACATCAACGACGTCGGTAGCACCATCCTGGAGGTGGAAGAATGCATATACCCTGAGGGTTATGTGAGTTGGACTAATGCAGGAGGATCGTACTTCATTTCGACGCGAAAGTAGACTATAGAGCTTCGTCAGCACACAGTGGAAGAGTACGTTGTAAGAAAGATTGGGTTGGAAGATGGACATTATCAGCGATGGGTATGAGGATATGTTCGGACTCACAGGATACTCCATATAGTACTTTGTTTTTCGTGATATCGAGCGTTGTTCCTTAGACCGAGCTTTGGCTGTTTGCTGTTATTGTCTGACCGATAGTCGATCATCGTCCTTTTTCGAAGAGGGGCTCGTTGGCAAGATTCATGGCATCTGCTTCCTGTGCCATCCTCTTCATCCATCGGTCGACGAGCTCCTTGTTTTCCTTTTTGACTTTGTCTCTTTCCTTCTCGGCCATGGACATTTGGAGATTTAGTGCAATCATTTCATCTTGGACTTGCTAGTGTCGTTGTGAGTATAGAACTGACATTCGGGATGCAATACGCACCTCAATGAATTTGCGTTTTTCCCTCAGCTCATAGTCTCTGTCTTCAAGTCTGGTAGTAAGACTGTTTTTGTCGGCTATGAGGTCTCTTATCGATCTTGTGTTCGTCTTGTGTTTGGATCGTAACTGCATCAACTCTTCCTCGCTTGCACGCAGTCGTTTCTCGGTGACACCTTTTGATCGAAGAGCTTCAGCGAGGTCTTGTTTCAGCTGTGCGACACCTGGATCGTTTGTCGATGGCTCGGCCGGTCGCGCAGTCGTCTTTCCGTTGGTTGTGACCAGGGTTTCTAGTCCATTCTTTTCAGCTTCGAGAGCAGATATGCGATCTGCCATCTGCGAACCTTGTGATCATTGTTAGACTTATACAAGGTGTGGTCGTTCCTCATGAGATGATGTCGCATAATGAGGGAGGGGTTTAGGTGGGGTTGATTTATACGAACATGTTTGAACCAGCTCCATGTTGACGGGGTTGTTGAGCTCTGCATCTTGGATGCCAGAAAGGTACTGGTCGCGCCAGTTGGGCATTGCGAAGAATAAGGGTTTTGGATGAAATAATGGAGAATATCGGTGTTGATGGAAAAGTTAGATGGCTGAGATTGAAATATGAGAGAGAGAATGACTTGCACCGCTCATTTGGTGCTGCCATGTGAGATGATGCAACCAACCAACCGCCAAAAGAAACCTAAAATTAGCGGGACAAGGAGCTACCCGACCGCTAATCCCAGCCGGAGAATAGCCGTATCATGGACGCCTAGCAACCTCCACTTACGTCGGACGGTATGATGCAGCCAGCACCCAAGCTCCCTGCTCTCATACATTGATTGTACTTGTTGTAGTGCACACAGCTGGAGCATTATCTTCAGCTATAAGCACATTTTCTCGTCACCACCACTTAAAAAAAGGTTTGGCAACAACATGAGATAATCGCGAGATGGATACGCTTCACGCGAGAGCCGATTGGGAAAGTGTCGGGGACAGGTGGTTCCGCAAAACACAGCAGTATACAGCTGTATTCGACCAAGATCTCGACTTGGATAATTATGTCGTTGCTGGAGCTCCATATGCAGGAGCATTAGGTGAGTGATTATGCTACAAAGGCACAGCATAACTCAGTTATCATGAACTGCTCACTTCTCATGATGAGTTCGAATTCCCAATAGATAGAGCTGACCAACCTCTTAGCACTGTGGCGCGACGATACAAAGCTCCTAGCATACCAACCGGGGCGGTCAGCAAAACCAGCAATTGACATTTACAGTCTTGCTGGAAAGAAGTTGCGCAGCATTCCTTGGGACAATGGCACCATCAAAGGACTCGGATGGTCCGAGGATGAGACTTTACTAGTTGTTACTGCTGATGGTAATGTCCGTTGTTATGATTTGCAAGGCGAATTCACACAGTTCTCTCTCGGCCATGGCGCCGACAACTATAGTGTTGAATCGTGCCGGTATGTCTGCAAACTATTTCTGCCCCGGATCTATGACTAACAGGATACAGCTTCTACGACCATGGCATGGTAGCACTCCTAGGAAATAACACCCTCATAACAGTCTCGTCCTATACCGAGCCCCGACCTAAGGCTCTTGCACAGACACCAGAAGGGGAAATCAACGCATGGTCAATCATCTCACCAAACTACACATTATCCAGGTCTGTTGAGGTGTTACTGGGTGTCGGCAAGACGGTCTACGTCGTCGATGCCACGGATTGCGAAGATCGCTTTCTCGATATTGGACCTTTCAGTCATATCAGCGTCTCACCAGATGGACGCTACGTGAATCTCTATGCTATGAACGGCAAAGCTCATGTTATCTCGAGTGATTTCCAGGAGCGATTGTTTGAACACGACTCGAATTCACAGACACCCCCTCTATATGTCGAATGGTGTGGTTCTGACGCCCTTATTGCTTGGGAAGATGAGGTGCACATTATTGGACCTGGCGATTCTTCCTCGTCATATATCTACGATAGCACACGAGTACATGTCGTTTCCGGTATGTAACTTTGTCTCATTTGGATCACTAACTAACATCCTGCAGAGCACGATGGTGCCCGCTTAATTACGAATGACTTTTGCGAGTTCTTGGAGAGAGTTCCACGAGACACTCTTGAAGTCTTTGGCCAATCTTCAGATTCGTCCCCAGCCTCGATTTTGCTAGATGCCGTAGGCCAGCTTGAACTTCAGTCTCCAAAGGCTGATGATTACATTCAATTAATAAGACCCAACCTTACAGGAGCTGTGGACACCTGTGTCAACGCAGCTGGACGCGAGTTTGATACGCACTGGCAGAAACGTCTGCTCAAGGCCGCCTCGTTTGGAAAGTCTGTGCTTGATATCTATAACAGCGACGAATTCGTTGACATGTGCGAGACTTTGCGTGTACTGAACGCTGTCAGATATTACGAAGTTGGAATGCCTCTATCATTTGAGCAGTACCATCGCTTGACGCCAGAGGCTCTTATCCGGCGACTGCTCAACCGACACGAGTATCTTCTCGCCTTAAAGATTGCGGGTTATCTCAAGCTTCCCACAGATCGAATATATGTGCACTGGGCGTCGAGCAAGGTTCGCGTGGGAGGCGAGGACGACGACACCATTTGCCGCTTAATCGTGGAGAGACTGTCCGGCAAGCCTGGAATATCATTTGAAGAGATTGCACGAGCAGCGTACCAAGAAGGAAAGGGACGGCTTGCAACAGAACTCCTTAATCATGAGCCTCGCGGTGGTAAACAAGTCCCGCTCCTTCTTAGCATGGAGGAGGATGAGCTTGCTCTTGACAAAGCGGTCGAAAGTGGTGACACAGACCTCATACTCTCAGTTCTGTTGCAATTAAGGAAAAAACTTCCTCTTGCTGCATTTTTCAGGATCATCAACGCACGACCTGCGGCCACAGCCCTGGTAGAAGCTTTGGCTATGGAGGAAGGCGATAATACGTTGCTCAAAGACCTTTACTACCAAGACGACCGACGAACAGATGGTGCCAATGTCTTTATCCGGGAATCTCTCAAGCAGCCTGATGCCCGCACATCATCTGACAAGTTGACTCTGGCAGCAAAACTATTGGCTGACTCAAAGGAGTCCTCATTTGAGGTTCACGCCTTGAAGGAGGCCACCACTTTGCTTCGTATGCAGGAAGCTTTTGACCGGGATCTGACAGATACGTTTACGGGGCTAAGCGTCAACGAAACCATGTTTAAGCTTATTCGACTGGGCTATCACGGGCGGGCTAAGAAGATCCAAAGCGAGTTCAAGGTCCCTGAGAAAGTGGCGTGGTGGATTCGGTAAGTGGACCTTCTCTACAAGAGCTCCATGGTACCGGGCTATTTTCATCAACGACTAACCTTGTTCCTGCAGATTACGAGCACTAGTAGCCAAGCGAGACTGGAACGAGATTGAGGAGATCTCCAAGACAAGGAGAAGCCCCATTGGTTGGGAGGTGAGTTACTACATAGATTCATGGAGTGAGACTTGGAACTGACAGAACATAGCCCTTCTTCAACCTCACTCTACAAGCAGGCAATCCAAGGGTAGCATCAGTCTTTGTGCCCAAATGCACAGGACTCGAAGCTGGTGAGACCATCACTATGTACGAGAAGTGCGGGATGCGTGTAAAGGCAGCGCAAGAAGCTGTGAGACTCAAGGATAGCGAGTCGTGGGCGAGGCTTCTCGAGGATGCAGGGAAGGGGTCGCAGGAGGGAAGAGAGATTGAGCGGCTAGGGCAGTCGGCCTTCAAGAAGTAGAGTTAAACATACCTGATGGGTAGTAATTTCTTAGAGGCATATATAGCTCGTCGTTTTCACTACAGTTTCACAATAAGCACATATTTAGACTTATTATAACCATGACGCCCATCTTTTACTACAATTAAACAAACAGTGATCCGAACTAAAATGAGTTTGACGCCTTGCACCTGTGTCAGTGGCTGCATAGTTGACGTTACCTAGTTAAATGTATGTGGGAAGGGTTTCCAAATCTTCTGAACCGTTTCTTGAGGCGTCAAAGTTGACCCCTTGAATAGATACAGTACTGTACAGCCCTAGCCAGCCCTGGCATAAAAGACTGACTGGAATGCAAAAAAGTCTGCAGCCGTTTCATAATAACCCTTCGCGTGATGAAATGAACTGATCTCGTGACGTAAAGAGTCATGTCTCTGTTCAAGGTGTCTCATGACAGTCTAGGATGGAGTTTGAAAGTGGGACGATGGGCATCAATCCCAGGGTTTCACGTGAGTTTAGATAACGTTATGATCGGGAAGTCCCGAAACACGCTTGTTTTGTAGTGACAAAAAAGAAACAGCAGATGATTTATGCTTTTGGTGGTGGTGGCATGACAGCTGAGTTGAGGGAGAAGAATTGCAGTGCAGAATGGGAGGGTAGGATGATGATATCATGGGGGTTACATTATAGTTCCGTGTGGGGGATGACCTCGGTAGTAGAGCTGGGGAACTGGCAAGTTTGAGGTGATACAGATACGATTTGTCCATGTCACAAACTCGGAGACTTTTGCTTTTTGTTGCTGGATATTAATTGTAAGACTCGAGAGAAAATCTTGACATTAGCTTCGCAGTAAATGCAGACCCTTCCCCTATTCTTTTCGCTCTTTGCTATTCCTGTGGTTATTTTTGTCTGCCAATGTTAGCTCAAGCACTCTTTGCCTCTTTCGGTCATAGTCAGAAAGTCTCGAAGCATCTGGTGGTGGCGGTTCTTTTAGAAATAATCGTTATTTAGGTATTGTACGACAGATGTATTCTAGCAGCAAACATATTTACCAAAGCTCGAGGTGTAAGTTGAGTTTAAGCCGCAGCCGGCGGGACTTTCGGGGAGCAAAAAAACGGTTGGTGAGAATTCTCCTTTACTTGTTTTCTAGAAGTAGGCGAGGGCGTTTGAGTTGCAGTGAAGCGTTTCTAATGGGCAAAGTGGATGATTACCAAGACGTCAAAGACGATCAGGAATAGGGGGAGAGATGCGAATAATAGTCTTTCGTATGTGAAGCTGTGATTAGAAAAGTCACATCAATACCGTGGCGTTTTGGATGGTATCTCTAACGTTGGGATGAAAGTCATGTCACACGGAAGTAGTAGGTATGGCCACCCTTCTGCAAGAAGGGATCAGGATCCGCACTCCATTTCCGATAATGGACCCTGCTTTTCATTCTTGCCAAGACGCTTTGCCTTACCCAATGTTAAAAGGAGAATTCGAGTTAATCAGACATAGATAGAATAGGGATAGGTCCAAGAAAACAGCTCCAGAACGGCCGAGCCGAATCACGTTTGATTGCAGAATTGATCACGTGGCTGTATGCAGCGTACTGCGTGATCTTGATGGTATCTCCATGAACCACTTGGTTGTCCAGTTAAAACCCTTGTTGTTGCACCAGTTAGTTGCATAGTTAATTCTTGATTGTCCACTAGTGATGAGACTAAATGCACAGTACTAAGTAAGGTAAACAAGTCAATGTTGGGCACGAGTTATGGATACTACTAGGTATAGAGTGGATTTGTTGATATCGGGGATTAATTCCTCTTTAAACAGAATTACAAGGCTGTAATGTCAATTCACAATTCCCTGCCCTTTTCTTTCTAAATTTTTCTCAACATCATTACGTCGTTTCCTTGGCTTTTTCTGTTCCTTGGACCTCTTTCTGGTCGTTGCGTCTGTCATTGCAGGGGTTTTGAGCGTCCCCTCTTTCTTTAGGGAGTCCAGTCCATGATTTCCAAACTAAGAGACCGCCGCTAGAACTAATCGAGTCGATCATCCCCTGTCAGCAGCTTTAGATCCCCTGTTTACGCCCCCGGCCCCGAGCGATGCCGCCACAGCCCACTGTACAGTTTAGGTGTGTGCTGTTGGTACTGTCACTGTTAATGTTACTGTCCACCAAGGAAAAAGGTAATGAACTCATCGAGACAGCCCAACCTCCAACTTTGGTCCAGGTCCAGGTCCAGGTCTAGGTCTAGTTCGAAGTCCCTTATTTTTCTTCTCTATTGAATCTTTTCTCTCTTAACATCAGTCTTCCTCTTCAATTGTTTCTCTTTCCTGTTCTTGCTTTCCCGTCGTCCAATGTCGGAGTCTGCGTCGGAATAGAAACTCTCCCTCCATTCAGTGTCCACCTCTTTATTTTGTCTTTGTCTCTGACGGAACGAACCATCGCCCCCCAGTCTAGAACCGATCTGCGAGACAAGACCGACAGAAAAAGACAAGCAGGACAAACAATTCAACTTTCCAACAATTTATTCGTATACATAAACGAGACCCTTTCCTTTTCCCTTGCCGCCTTTGTAAGCGAATCAATAACCTGAGTAATATCACCAACTCTTGCATACTCCTCCTCTTCCTTCGTATATTCCCTACGTTGGTCATCACACGGGTTCTTCCTCATATAACCGTTCCCATCGTATCGTCCGGATACGCTCTTGTTCCAACGTCAACAACAAACAACTGTCTCTGTATCTGTTTCTGTCTCAGCCAAGGTTTCAGTCACCTGGCCGTCTTCAGCCAAAAAAGAACAAGACATACAGTAAAGACAGCAAGAAACAAAACTGATCCTTCAGTCAATCGATCAAAGCAAGGGCTAGATTGAAATTAAGCTTCGCCTCTCGCTACAGTGCCATTGCGCCGCCTTTTGCTTCTCCCTTTCTTGGAAGTACTTCGCCTTGGAATTGCCTGCTCAAATACCTACCTATTGTATCTCCATTTACAAATTCCTCCCCTCTTTCTTGCTTTCTGCTTGAAAGTTGTACCCTTGCAGTCGGCAACCACCTAAAACAGGGTCCCTGCTCTTTCTGTACTGCTTGTTACTTCCTTTTTTCACTCTTGTCTTTTTGGGTGCCGCCTGCCTACTCTGTTTTATCCCTCCCCCAATCATGTTTACTCAGCCAGTTGTTTCAACGCCCACGGGGCCTTCGCAGTCCTCGTCCACTTCAACTTCGAGACCCAGCCGTCTTAGAGGTCTCAGTTATTTGCGCAACTATACACAAAACCATATTCTTTCCCGCGACAGCCATCACAACTCTTCATCAGGCTCTGGACCTGGCACCGGAACAGCGAGCGCACGCAGCACGTCCCCCAACCGACACGGCTCTAGCCTCACGCGATCTCTCAGCCATTCGCCTACTACGAGTGGACCATCCACCACTGGAGCCCAGAACCAAAACGCCAACCACTTGACCCTCGTCAGTTCAACACCCGATCCCGTGAGGAATTTGGCATCAGCGGTCACCACAACTTCGATACCTGCGCTGCCACCTACTTCTGTCCCTGTTCCTGCTCCCGTCGCCAACGACTCTCCTTACGCATCTTCTACTGCGCCTGCTTCTGGCCCTTTGGCTTCTTCCGACGTCGACGACCCCACCAACCCTGCGCCTGAATCCTCGACCGCAGCAGCAGATACTCAAACTGCAACCGCCGACATGATCCAAGATCAGCCTACCACGAGGTCGCGGTCCGGCACCACGGGCGAAGGGGGCACATCCACCCCTGAGACTACTCCGTCAATTCGATTCTCGGCCTACTACGACCCGCGATCTACACGTCCGTCCCTGACGTTTCCCCCCATTTCCAGGACTTTGCCTACGGGATCCGAGAAGATTCGCGTTGGTCGCTATTCGGAGCGAGACAGCCACTCCATGTCTAACATGCCTGGTAATCAGCCGTCAGCCGCCCCCGTCGGTTTCAAGAGTAAGGTCGTCAGTCGTCGACACTGCGAGTTCTGGTACGAGGATGGAAAATGGTACATCAAGGACGTCAAAAGTTCTTCCGGCACGTTTTTGAACCATATTCGTTTGAGCCCGCCTTCGCAAGAAAGTAAAGCTTTCCCGGTCAACGATGGCGACATCGTGCAGCTCGGAATTGACTTCAAGGGGGGAGAGGAAATGATCTTTCGATGCGTCAAGATGCGCCTCGAGCTGAACCGTGGTTGGCAAAACAAGCTCAACACTTTTAAGTAAGTCTATGGTCTACCTTTTCCAACAAGTTTCAAATGCTAACACATTTACTAGCATGGCTGCGCATAAGCGGTTGCAGACAATGGCTTCTAGTGGAGCAGCAGCAGGTACTAACTCTCAAGACTGCTCCATCTGCTTGAGCTCTATTGCCGTAAGCTCACCAAATACCAACCGTCCTTGTTCGTTTTGCTAACGATTACTCATAGCCCTGTCAATCTCTATTCGTGGCACCCTGTTCGCACACATGGCATTTCAAGTGTGTGAGATCATTACTCAACTCTCCCCAGTACCCCATTTTCATCTGCCCCAACTGTCGTGCTGGCGCCGACTTAGAAGCTGATGTCGATGAGCTGGCCGAAGAGTGGCAACAAATGAAGAACGAAGCTGAGGCAGAAGCCTCAACACCAGCACAGATCGACACCGAGCCGGAAACAGAACCAGAGCCAGAGCCAGCCGCCCCCGTAGTTAGTTCTGGAACATCGACACCCGAGCGATCAAATACTGTTGACAGCGATCACATGGATGTCACTGTCAGCATTACGCCCGAAACGCCCCAACGAAACGAAGTTAATCATGCCATCTCCGAGCCATTGCCTATCAGAGCGGTCTCAGGTGCGCGAAGATCAAACCAGCTCGGCGATAGTCGAACGCCATCTCCCCCAGGCGGCAACGAGGGACCAATCACCCCACGAAATAATGTTGGACCTTGGGTTTTTGACGGCAGCGCCGGCAGTACAGTGAGCGCCACAGAAGGCGAAATGACCAGCATAGATGCCGCAGCACAACCGGACACAAATGAGAACAACGCGACAGTTCGTCAATGAAAAGGTCCATCGACCGAAGATGCTCGTATATAGGCGGGGCTCGGCCAGTATCTGGTAAACAAGACGGCGCTTGGAGAAACATGTTTATACGTCATGGCGTTCGTTCGGTTGTCCTGGCTCTCATGGCAGAAAGGCGTTGACGGATATTATATATATATATTACTACCTGTAGTAGAAGACAGGATGGAGCGTGACTACGCATCTTTTGCACAGCGTTGTTATACTATTTTGATTGAGCGAGATATGAAAGAGAATTAGATATAGGGTAGTGTTTGACGAATAGGTCTCATATGACATAGGATACAACTGGCCAAGACAAGGGCCTATGGGTGGGAGTTAATGGAAAGACTTGCCTATCATAAAGCACAGTGTTGAAATTGATGTGAAATATCATTTGGATATATAACATAATGCGATTGGACACAGGAACTCATGTCATGATCAATAGTCATGATATAAAGCGAGAGAATGTCACTAGGCTTATTGTGTTTTCACTCCAAATTTATCATGCTTGCTTGCATTTTCACCACAACGCTACATTCCGTAGTTGTTCATAGTAGTTTATGCCGGTACTGGAGCCTCCTAATATCCCAATTAATTTAATCATATCAGCACTGATTTCATGAACTCTGCCGTCTTCGTCTGAATTGTCTTGCACACAGAAGACATTATGTCATCATAATCCGTTGTTTACGGCACCGAGATGATCCGGCCTAATCGCCGAGTGCGGGCGGACAGGCCGGGGTGCGTACTAAATTTCGACGGTCGTTAGTCAGTCGCAAACTTGTTTGCCAGTGACGATACCTTCAAGCATTTGTTTGTATTTGTTAGAAATTGGCAATTCCCATTTCTTTACAAAAGCAGGCGCATCTTCAAAATGCTTCGCCAATTCAGCGCTGGCCTGCCTACAAAGGCCCGGGCCTCATGCTCGAAGGTCTTGGGCCAGGCTTTCAAGTTCTCGCTGGCGCGGAGATCTATGGCTACTGTTAAGGTGAAGGGTATTGAAAAGGTATTTTATAACAATAATTTGGCATTGGTTTATACGGAATACTCTTGCTAATAGAGAACAGGATCCTACAGACCTTGACAAGGTCACGACACTTCCCAATGGTCTGCGAGTTGCGTCAGAAGCCCTCCCCGGATCATTCGCTGGTGTGGGTGTTTATATCGAGGGCGGTTCACGATTCGAAAACGACTCTCTCCGCGGTGTATCCCATATTATGGACCGACTCGCTTTCAAGTCCACATCGAAGCGCTCCGCAGACGATATGCTCGAGCAGGTCGAAGCATTGGGCGGAAACATTCAGTGTGCTTCGTCGCGAGAGAGCATGATGTACCAAGCCGCCACCTTCAACAACGCTGTCCCTCAAACCATTGAACTCCTCGCCGAGACGATCCGCGACCCCCAAATCACCGACTTGGAAGTTGCCGAGCAGATCGAGACAGCACGATATGAGATCCGCGAGATCTGGAGCAAGCCTGAACTAATCCTGCCCGAGCTAGTTCACACTGCTGCGTTCAAGGATAACACCCTTGGGAACCCGCTGCTGTGCCCGGAGGATAGGCTGGGTGCTATCAACAAAAACACCGTCTTGGCTTACCGAGATCTCTTCTACCGACCTGAGAGAATGGTCGTGGCATATGCTGGTGTTGAGCACAGCGAGGCTGTCAGACTAACAGAGAAGTTCTTTGGCGATATGCAAAAGGGCACACAGCAGACCACAGAGACAACTGGTTCCGAGACCAGCGAAAGCGAACTATCAGATAGCGAAGCTAGCGCATCCTCAGTCTCTTCATCACCACAGTCATCCTCCGGGCTTCTTTCACGGTTCTTTAAGAACACACCTTCCGCTCCCCAGAATCTCAACATTCTCCCCTCTCAAGCCGATATTGCACGCCCCTCCAAATATACGGGCGGTTTCTCCTGGCTCCCCGCTCAACCACCTAACCTGAGCGGTCTCCCTACTTTCACACATATCCACCTCGCCTTCGAAGGCCTCCCTGTCTCTTCGGACGATATCTACGCCCTCGCCACACTCCAAACTCTCCTTGGTGGTGGTGGTTCTTTCTCTGCTGGTGGACCTGGTAAAGGCATGTACTCTCGCCTATACACCAATGTCCTGAACCAGCACGGTTGGGTCGAGTCATGCATGGCCTTCAACCACTCCTACACTGACTCCGGTCTTTTCGGCATCTCAGCAAGCTGCTTGCCCGGACGAACAGCTGCCATGCTCGACGTCATGTGCCAAGAGCTCCGTGCCCTTACCCTGACGACAGGCTTCTCACGTCTGCAAGAGACCGAGGTCGCACGTGCGAAGAACCAGCTGCGATCCAGTCTCCTCATGAACCTCGAGAGCCGTATGGTTGAGCTCGAGGATCTCGGCCGCTCAATCCAGGTCCACGGCCGCAAGATTCCCGTTAAGGATATGTGTCGTCGTATCGAGAACCTGACAGTAGATGACCTCCGTCGTGTGGCCACCATGATTGTTGGCGGTCATGTGAAAAACCCTGGAGGCGGAAGCGGTGCTCCTACCGTGGTGTTGCAGGAGGCCCAGGCATACGGTGTCAGCAGCCACACAATGAGCTGGGACCAGATTCAAGATCGCATCGATAGCTGGAAGCTTGGCAGCTTGCCATAGATTTGATGTGGTATCGTACCAAGAGATGATGTGTTGGTCACTTGCATGACGTCCTCCGTGAAGAGGAGTTGTATAATAGAGTGGGATATTGTAAAGCATATACCGGACATTGGGATGTAGCATTATGAGGAGTAGAAAGACTATGATGGTCGGGAAAATATGTATTATATGAGCCCACGCAATTTCTCCCCTAGACTCAAAATTAACGTATACTAGCATAAAGCAGACAAATGAAGAATTCTAAAGAAGAAAAGGCTACATTGATGTATATTATTCTGTATGCAAAGTCTCGCTATCACTGAACTCCAAACTATAATGTACCCATTCTGGGTATGAATTTGCGCCGTCTTCGCAATACGCCGTATGCCCTGTTGCTTAATATAAAATCCTGCAATTTCTAATGCCGTATAAAATCAATCATAAAACCTGTTCAAATCCCGCAAATCAAAGCTTGGACCGCACAGCCTCGAGGCGGTACTTGACGTCCTTGAGGGCCTTGTTGGTAGGTTTCCAGTCATCGAACTGTTTGAGTAGCTCATCTGCTTCGGCACTCAATTCAGTACGGACAAAGTTCTCTTCTAACAATCCGCGCATAATCCAGGGCAAGACATATGGGTTCTGGGACGTCAATGGCCCTCCGCGCGGGGAAATGGTACATGGTGCTGGTGGTGGACCAGCAGGTGCTGTTTCGAGAGCGTGTGCGATGGCAAGATCATATACCGCGTCATCGTAGTAGAGGCGGGAATGACCAGCACCTGAATAAAGGGAGCCAGCAAGAGGGACGGATAGCTCGCGAACCAAGCCATGATCTGAAACACCAAGGTTGCGAAGTTTGAGAGCGAAGCCAACCAGGTGAGCAATAAAATCAGGGGCATGAACACGCCCATCGATGAATACAGCCCGGTAGATGTAAGGATGGTTCGCAGGTGAGTAGACGGCGGACTATATATGTTAGTTAACTGAGTACAAGAGACACGGGCAGTGGCTACGACTTACCTCCATTGGTACGAGCTGATCGTCAATGCTACCAATGAATGTGACACGAACCCCATAGTCTACTACACGCTTCAGAGCGTTCTCAAAACGCTTTGAGTTGTCACTCTCTGCGTTTCCAAAGTCCCACAACTCAGCAGCAGAACCCATGAGTAGGCTGGATTTGTAGTCAGGGAAAGGCCCCAGTGCAACTCCTGCCATGGCACAAACACCGACTTTGGCGTTGGTGATGATGCCGAGATCAATGAGTTTCTCGAGCAACATGATGCTCACGGGAACTCCTTGCGAGTGACACGCAATTAGAACGAAATCAGCGTTGCGAATATGATCAATCCAGTTAAGCATGAGCTTCCATAGGTTGTCTACACGATCTTGAATCTTTCCTTCTCCCTCGAGGGCAACCTTCTCGATCTCGCAATCACCACAGCCATGAGACTCAGCCCATCTTCTGATTCCCTCAGCTCCAAGGGCGGCAAAACGCAGAGATGTACCTGTTGGCTGCCCAATCATAGGGCGAAGGTATGTTGCGGGAAAGAGCCCATGAACACCGATTGCAATAGCCTTTTTGATATTTGGAGGTTTGTCCACTCGGAATACATGGTTGGGAGGGGCTTGCTGTGTGCGAAGCAGAAATTGCGTCAGTTGCTTCACAATGGATGGGTTGTCCTTCATACGGTAAGTGCTGGAGAAAGATGGAAGCAGGAGGTTGCCAGAGTGCTTGGTAGATGTTTCCGACTCGGCGATGGATTGATCGGAAGAAGCAATCTTTGCTGAGGCTTTATCAATATCTTGAGTAGGAGTTGCTGCCCTGGTTGGGGTTGATGCCCCAGATACTGGGGGCGATGATGTGCGATCCAAATCCATCGACTGAGGCCTAACGCGTTTGTTCTTCTTCATCCACCTGGACTTGACAGATGCTGGTTTATCCTTCACCTTTGGATCTTCTATTTTGCTGTCCTTGGTTGGCGATACATCGCGTTCTGCCATGGGTTGAGGATGGGCCTCTGACCCTTCGCCCATCACCGCTACTTCTCCAGATTCGGGTAAAAGCTGGGTTTCTTTCGCTTTTGGCGATTCCTTCGACCAAAAGGCCCATGTCGAACCGCTCTTGGGAGGCGTCTCATTTTGATGAGAGGGAGGCTCAGAATCTTTCATGACAACGTCTTCTGAGGGCGGTTCAGTGTCTGTTTGTGGTTGTTGAATATCTGGCTTATCCTCCGGAGCTTTGACAGGTTCGGCAGAAGGATACCAGTATCGAAACCAAGAAGTAGGTCGTGGGCCTTGATCGTTTTTAGGAGAGGCCATCTGCTCTGAAGGCTCTGCTTGAGCGGGTGGAGTGACAGGCCGAGGAGTATCGGCTTCTTTTGTAGTCTCAATCTCGATCATTGGCTGAGTGCCTGTATCAAGTGTTGGAGTTGCCTGTGTCTCCGTGAAAGGCGTTCTGGACCACCACCCTAGCCACCCTGATGAAGTTGGCGGTTGTTGACCGTCGTTCTGGGATGCAGATGCTGCGGGTCGCATGTCGGCCTGAGATTTGGACTGGGCATCACTGGTCTCAGATTCTTGCGTTTCATGGGTTGTTGTTTCTGCGGTCCCTGCGTCTTTTGATGTCTCTTGGCTTTCGGCGATTTGAGTTGGTTCTCTGGACGTTTCAACATCCGGCTTGATCTGACTTTGCGATTCTTTCTGCGTATCTTCTTCGGTCATGGTAGCATCGGATTTGTTTTGTTTAATCTTCGGCATCGTTTTAATCGTGCCCGTCGTACTTAGAATACTGGCATCATCGCTGTCGTTCCTCTTCGCCTCGTATCGGCTTAGATCGAGGGATTTATTGGATTTTACTGTTCCTCCAAGTATGTTTTCTTTCGCGATTGAGGTGGATGCCGAGGCTTTCGGAGCTCGTGGCCATGAGCCGTACCAACTTCTTGGTCTTTGTACCTGCATGTCTTGTTAGACCTTAAGAGGGTAATATAAAGCTAAGAAATCCTACGTCTTTGCTACTTGTGCGCTTTATGGAGCGAGAATCACTCATAGTCTGTTGTCTCGATGGCACCTTTTGGTTACCTTGGTCTGTTTCCGTCGCGGGTGTCGCCTTTGACGCTTGTGATTGTGACGTAGGGGTCTGTATTGTTGAGGCGCTGACCAGGGTCTTCGCGTCGTCCTTTGTGGGCATTTCAGCCGGGCTCAACCGTGCCTTTTTTCTAGGAAACATGTCAAGTATCGTCGCTTCACAATTCCATCGAGATGAAAAGACTAGTTGGACGCTTTTAGGTTTGCTGTTGTTGCTTTATTAAAAACTACTAAGGTAGGTAATCTCATAGTGCTTGTCATGTGTTGATCTAACGTGCTAAGTTCCTAGAGTTACCTTCAGAGGGCCCCGCCGTAGTCCGGACTGCTACTGTGCATCAAAGTGGAGCCTTAGTCGGTCTAGAGGGAGCTCCATAGTTTTTTCATGTTATCGATAAGCAAAAGGTAAAGAAAAATTTCGACCCAGCTACAACTTAGACGAACAGTGAAGGACAGAGTAGTTGGTGATGCGCCAACGTCTTTCACAATGAGCAACCTCAAGCGAAAAGACGCCCCTGGCGGCAATCCCCCCGCCAAATCGGCAAAGAACACAAAAGAAGCCCGACCTACAACAAAAGAGAAAGTCGGCAAGGATGCGAAGCCCGCTCCCAAGAAGAGCGCCGACGAGCCTGAGAAGGCTCCCGTCGTCTCAATCTTGAAGGAGGATGAGCCAATGTTCCCTCGAGGTGGCGCCAGCATCCTTACTCCCCTCGAGCAGAAGAAGATCAACATCGAAGCCAAGGCTGATGCCATGCGCGACGAGGAGTTTAACACTGCCACCAAAGATCAAAAGAAGAAGAAGAGGAAGACTGCCTTGAAGGGCGACAAGAAGGTGGACAAGAAGACTGGAGATGAGGAACAAACAATTCGAGTTGAGAGTCTCAGCTTCAAGGTAAGCACATTAAAAGGTATTAATCTTGCGTCGGTTCCTAACTTTGGTTTAGAAATTGGCCAAGGGCTCTCTCGTTCTTGCGCAGGTCACACGAATCAACAGTCTCGACGTCGAAGTCGCACTACCAAATAACCTTACTGGTCACATCTCAATCGTTGCTATTTCTCAACAATTGACCGAGCGTCTCGAGAACGAGACCGCCGACAAGGATAACGACGATGAGGAGGAAGAAGCCGATGACGACGACGGCATCGATCTCAAGTCAATCTTCGCCGTCGGTCAGTACCTCAGAGCCTACGTTGTATCCACAGTCGAGGAGTCTACCACTGGAAAGGGTAAGCGACGCATAGAACTCTCTCTGCGACCGAGCGAGGCCAACACTGGCTTGGAGAAGGACGACGTCGTTCCCAACGCCACAGTCATGGCATCGATTGCCAGTGTCCAGGATCGTGGCTTTGTGATGGATACCGGTATTGAGAACCTCGGTGCTTTCTTATCACGAAATGAGATTGATAAGTCCATTGACGAGAAGAGACTGCAGCCCGGCGCTGTCTTTTTGTGCCAGGCTATCAGCAAGGGCGCCAACGGCAAGATTGCCCAGCTCTCGCTCCAGCAGAAGAAGATCGGCAACCCCAAGAACCTACCAGCTGATGCGACCACCATCAAGACCTTCCTTCCTGGTACCATGACCGATGTCCTTGTCTCCAATACCGACCGACGAGGACTCGCTGGAAAGATCATGGGACACCTCGATGTGACTGCCGACATTATCCACTCTGGTGTTGGTCCAGCTGGTGTGAGCCTGGACACAGCCTACAAGATTGGTTCAAGAGCCAAGGCCCGTGTTATCTGTAACTTTCCAGGTGCCAGAGAACCCAAGCTTGGAATTTCTCTTCTCCCCCATATCACCACTCTTGAGAAGAAGCGACCTACCAAGTCAACCGACTCCAAGAAGAACCCCACACAAGTGCTGCCCATCTCATCCTTGGTCGAGACCTGCACAGTTCGCCACGTTGAGCCTGATATTGGTCTGTTCGTCGATATCGGCATTCCTGGTCTAAGCGGATTCGTTCACATCTCTCGAGTTAAGGATGGCAAGGTGGAGGCGCTCTACGAGTCGAGTGGCCCCTACAAGGTTGGCTCAGAGCACAAGGGTCGCGTTGTCGGCTACAACGAAATCGACGGGCTTTTCCAAATATCTTTCGAGAAGTCTGTTCTTGAGCAGGAATACCTCAGACTTGAGGATGTCCCCATCGGTGCAATTTTGACATGCGAGATCGAAAAGGTCGTCGTCGATGAGAGGGGTGTCAGCGGCCTGATTGTAAAGGTTGCGGAAGGTATCAGTGGTTTTGTTCCTGAGCAACATCTTTCTGATGTCCGACTACAACACCCCGAGAAGAAGTTCCGACAGGGTATGAAGGTTAAGGCTCGAGTCCTTTCTACCAACTTGGACAAGAAGCAGATGCGCCTTACCTTGAAGAAGACCATCGTCAACTCCGAGGCGCCCGTTATCAAGTCTTACGACGAAGTCAGTGTTGGTATGCAGATTCCTGGTACCATCATCAAGGTCCTGTCATCCGGTGCTATCATTCAGTTCTTCGGCACTGTTCAAGGATTCCTGCCCATCTCTGAGATGAGCGAGGCTTACATCAAAGATCCCAAGGAGCATTTCCGAGTTGGTCAGGTTGTTAGCATTCATGTTCTTGATGTTCAACCTGAGGATAAGAGACTGGTTGTTTCTTGCAAGGACCCTTCCGCTTTCGGTTTGGAGAAGCAAAATGCTCTCAAGAAGCTTCAGCCTGGTGATATTGTCTCTGCCAAGGTTACACAGAAGACCGAGGATCAAGTCTTTGTTGAGCTAGCCGATTCTCAGCTCAAGGCCACCCTCTCTGTTGGTCATCTGACTGACAAGTCTAACTCAAAGAACCAATATGCTCTCAAGCGTATTGCCGTTGGGCAGACCCTTTCTGACTTGGTGATTATTGAGAAGGACGACAACCGACGTGTCATTGTCCTCAGCCACAAGCCTAGCCTTCTTGACGCTGTAAAGAACAGGACTCTCCTTACCAGCTTTGAGAAGGCCAAGGAAGGCAAGATTGTGGCTGGTTTCGTCAGAAACATCACCGTCACCGCTGTGTTTGTTCAGTTTGCTGGAAGCCTAACTGCTCTTCTTCCCAAAACTCGACTTCCTGCTGATGTTCAGAACCAGCCTGACTTTGGCATGCACAAGCACCAGTCCATCGAGGTTAAGATTGTTTCTGTCATCCCCGACCACCAGCGCATCGTGGTGGCTCCAGCTGACTTTGATGAAACTGCTGAGTTGAGCAAGAAGGGAAAGGCCAACGAGAAGCCCGCCGCTACGGATGACATTGAGTCTGGAACAATCGCCAACGCAAAGATCACCTCTATCAAGGATACCCAGCTCAATGTTCAACTCGCCAACAGCAAGGTCCAAGGTCGCATCGACGTTTCTCAAATCTTCGACAAGTGGGAAGATATTCCCGACCCCAAGGATCCTCTTGACAAGTACAATAAAAAGCAGAATATCTCTGTTCGTGTGATGGGAGTCCACAGCGCTAAGGATCACAGATTCCTGCCATTCTCCCACCGCTCGCTCCACTCTGTTCTTGAACTCACTGCCAAACCCAGCGATATCGAAGCCAAGACACTCAAGCCCCTTTCTCTTGAGGATCTTAAGGTTGGCGACACTCATGTCGCTTTCGTCAACAACTCTAGTCCTCAACACCTCTGGGTCAACCTTTCACCTTCCGTTCGTGGCAGGATTTCTGCTATGGAGGCTTCGGATGATTTGTCTCAGCTCAACGATCTCGAGGCGAACTTCCCCATTGGTTCAGCCCTGAAGGTTAGAGTCACTCACGTGGATGTTCGCAACAACCGTCTTGACCTTTCAGCTCGTTCGTCTAACTCATCTGATGCTGTTACCTGGAGTGTCCTGAAGCAGAACATGGTCCTTCCTGGACGAGTCACGAAGGTCAACGAACGCCAGGTTCTGGTTAAGCTCAGTGAAGTTGTATCAGGCCCTGTCCATCTCCCTGATATGTCTGACGACTTTGACACCATCAACACTCTCAACCATAAGAAGGGCGACATCGTCCGTGTTTCCGTTGTCGAATTGGACTCAAGTAACAAGAGACTCCGACTGTCAATTCGTCCATCTCGTATCATGAGCTCAACCCTCCCAGTCAAGGACAAGGAGATCAGCGATGTTTCTCAGCTCGATGCTGGCGATATTGTCCGAGGTTTCGTGAAGAACGTCTCTGACAAGGGACTCTTTATCCTCCTTGGTGGACAGGTCACTGCTCTGGTCAAGATCTCCAATCTATCAGACCGTTACCTGAAGGAGTGGAAGGATCATTTCCAAGTTGATCAACTAGTCAAGGGTCGCGTTATTGCTGTTGACAAGCTGATTCGCCACGTCGAGTTGAGCTTGAAGTCTTCGGTGGTTGACGAGGACTACACTCCTCCCACCACTTACAATGACATTCAGGAAGGTCAGGTTGTTACGGGCAAGGTCCGCAAGGTCGAGGAGTTCGGTGCTTTCATCTTGGTCGATGGGTCCGATAACGTCAGTGGTCTTTGCCATCGAAGTCAAATGGCTGAGCAGCCCGTCAAGGATGCTACGAAGCTTTACAAGGAAGGAGATGTCGTTAAGGCTCGTGTTCTATCGGTGGACGCTGAGAAGCGACGAGTCACATTTGGATTGAAGCCTTCACTATTCGAGGACGTTGACTCTGATGTGGACAACTCCGATGCCGGTGTCAGTCTTGGTGAGGATGACAGCGATGACGATGATGTTGATATGGATGACGCTAGCGCTATTCTCAAGATTCTCGGTACAGACAACGCCGGCGACTCAGATGATGACGATGAAGATGATGAGGACGAGGAGGATGAGGATGAAGACGAGGAAGATGAGGATTCAGATGTGGAAATGGAGGACCAGCCAGTTAAGAAGTCCAAGGGTCTCGGTGCAGGCAAGAAATCGGAGTGGTCCGCTGACCCCTTCGATGAGCCCGAGTCAGAGTCAGAGGAACAGGCAAAGGATGCTGAGAAGCCTAAGAAGAAGAAGCGAAGCAGGGACGAGGTCCAGATCGACCGAACCGCTGAGCTCGATATCAACGGCCCTCAAACGTCTAGTGACTACGAGCGATTACTTCTGGGACAGCCTGACTCATCAGAGCTGTGGATCGCTT